ATTTATCTGAATCTTTACTTTTCATTTGTCAAGTTACTTGTGTTATGAACATGGAGACAAATCTGAATTCACCATAAGAATTTTTTAGCAATAGAACTTTTTTTAATTTTGTTTTGTTTAACATCTGTGAAATTATAGATAACTTTAGTTTGTTCCAAGACATTGTGGTGAGTGGCAGTCTGCCAGATCCTTCAAATAAATGCAAATTTCCTTATTTGTTATGTATGTTAAATTTGTTGTAGTTGCCTTTTCTCGTCAAATTATTAAAACCTAATTATATGAAGCAAACAAAAATTGTCAAGCTCTTCAATATCATTCAGGTTCATAGTAGTAGAAATGGTGAAATTTCATGCAAGGTCTCATCAAACAATTCAATTTTTCATTCTATAGACTATGAATTGATATTCTCCCTCATCAGTCATGAGCCTTTTAGGATAACAGAATTCTGCTGCACTAGCTTACACAAAAGGAACCACTTATAATTTTTTTCTGTGCTCTACTGATAGTGATACTTTGTGAGCATCTTGATTTGCTTGACCTATCCTGGATGCATGTTTGGATCACCACAAAAAAAGCTCTGTCCTCTTTTTCCCATGTTTCAGCTGGGGCTTTGTTATTTAGCAGACACTATGGCTCATATATCAAAACATGAACTTAAATAAAACCAGGTTTTGAACCATTCACAGATTTTAAAATTCTGTAATGGATTAAATCCAATGAAGTGAGGAATCTGCAGCAGTATTTAGGCTGTACTTAGACTAATAATTAGTAGTTAAGCCTAAACTTGGTGCCAGAATTGACATCCTAAATACTCCCTAATTTAAGTGCCATTTACCCCTGAAGATGACTAACCACACTGTAATATCTTCCCATTTAACAATAAATTTTCCTCTTAGTTTTCTCTGTGGAGGCATGGAATTGGCTCATTTTGAGCTGAAGTATGTAGTTCTCATGTAGGGCCTGATGAATTTTCTTCCACCCAAGACCCTGTGAGCAGGTTTAATCCACATAAACAAGATTTAGTTTCTCCAAGAATGCAAATGAAGTCAGCCCTTGGAAAAAAATAAAAAGCAGCTGTGATGCAAATCACCTTTTAAATATTAGCCTGAATGTCAGAGTAGGCAAATGACGTGAGACTGAGCTCAGCCTGGGGAGATTCAAATACACATTTTTGGGGCATCTTAATCAGTGGATCTAACCACCCCTCTATATACATAACTGAAAAAGAACACACTTTCAAGTAGATCTGCATGAAGTTGTGCCATTGAGTAGGATGGAATTAAAAATTCCTAAGACCAGAAAGATCACAAGGAAAAACATCTCTGCAACAGATTGCAGAGTTTTTTTCCTTTAAGGTGGGTGGTGAGGGCTTCAGTTGTCAGCCAAGTTAGGAACTGAACACATACTGTCCTTTTTTTTTTTTTTGTTAAATATACTAACTACAGCATATTAGATAAAAATAAGTGGGTTTACTACTAACACAATTTTTGTGTTCAATAAAATACATATGTAGAACATAGACTATAGAATAAAAGGACTAGCTCTGCTCAGTTCTGTGGGAATTCTAGAAGTCTGTGTTCCTAACTACCATGAAGCCTTGCTAGCTTTAGCTGTAGGAGATCCTTACACTGTGGAGGAGTTTTCCAATATGTCTCTGTGCACAGCACATCATATCATAGCCTTTTGGGCTGTCCAGTTTGCAATTCTAAGGCTCTTAACTCTCCCTATGCAGTGAAACAGGGTACCTATTAAATCATGGGGATGAACAAGCTAAAATGTCTCAGTTCGTTATTGGATCTGTTTTACAAACTACTTGGAAGCTGGTCTGTTATTCTGTAATGATGTGAGCACTGGAAAAGATGAGCAGTCATATCTGGAGCCTGTTTTTTACCCACACGTATAGCTTCAACCACACAGTGAGTTATAGTAATCTGGGGTGGAGGTCACAGACAAATAGATTGTTTGTCAGGATTGTTACAAGACAGAAAGAAACACACAGAATAAAAAGAACCACAATAAAACAACCAACCAAAAACCAACCTAGTGTTTATGTGCCAAAAACGCCACATGGGATGAATTTAGGTCTGTGGGTCCAGGTGAGCAATCCCTGTAAAATCCTTGTTTACTTGTAGTATGACTGAGAGTCCTGAAACATCTCATGTTCTCCCTACTGAAATTTTTTAGGCATGTGAAGTGCTTCTGCTCTGCTTTCCTGGGTTGGCATCATTTTTACTGTGCAGAACATTTTGACACCTAATCTTTAGCTTCACAGAATAGGCATATGTTTCTCTTAAGATCAATAGCTATGCTACACTCCTTCAAAAACATGTCAATCCATGGGATGATGTTCTCCAGTGCTTCTGACTTCCTAATCTTTATGCTTATATTCAGAGTGACCCATCAGTAGTTGTGTCTGTTCTTTTAGTCCCTACCAGTGTCCTCCACTGAGTACACTGTTGTCACTTCACCCTGAAGTAACCCTCTGGCTGTGGAAGGTTCGCATCATGGCTTCCATGAGCAGGTGTTCTTATCACTGTGTCATTATAAAAATTATATATATGTTTTTATTTGTGGAAAGGTATCAAGAAAAATCAACAGAGTTCTGAATATCATGATCACACTGTTGGAATGTGGGGACATGCTGTTTCTCTGTTTTGCTGTTAATGGTGAAAAGGCTCTGAGAACATGTGGGAGGGAAGAACTAGTTAATGACTGCCCTCACCAAGTCTTATTGGAGACAAATGAGATGTACCAAAGTTTCTATGCTTTGGAGACTTTCTTCTGTAGCACACTGTATCAAAGTCACTGGAGAGATCTCACAGAACAACATGGAGATCATCTTCATGTGCCAAGGCCATGGAGTATGTAAACTGGAGTTCCCAGGGCAGTCTCTGGTCTGTGCTCTGGTCTGAACCTCTGGAGGTTCAACAGCTAACTGGTGTCATATTGCTGGAATTTTCTTTAATACTTTCACAGTAGTTTTTCTTTATCCCATGTTGTTGGCAATAGCTAGAAAAGCAAATAGTCTTCTTTGGCTAGTCAAGATATTACATTGTTCTAAAGGCATGGCTGGTGTGCTTTTCTGGAGGACAAGTTGATCAGTTCCATTACTATGGGCATAATCATTCTTCAGTGCCTTTCAGAAGACAGCAATGACATGGATCCCATACATGGATAGTGCTCTTGTCTTCCAGCAGCACTTGGTTTGTAGTTTAAACTTTTATGTATTAGGGCAATTTGGCTCTGCACCAGCACTTTAATGTTTCATTTTCATGTATAACCAGAGTTTATGGAAAGAAGAACTAAATATTCTGGTCTTGAGAATAAGTCCAGAGAGGCTTTGGCTAATTTTCCTCTCTTAATAGCGTCATTTGAGTTCATAAAACTTTTATTATTGTATTAAGGAGTCACAAAATTAAGACTGCAAGTCTGTGAGGTAAAATTCTTATGTTTGGTATCAGTGCTGTTGAAATGAAATAATACGTGTCCAAAAAGTTAGGGTGAATGTATGAGACCTGCCTATTTTTTCACTGAGTTATTTTAAGGGGTAGAAATATTGTTTAGTTACTGCGATACCTGAAAATCAGTATTCTCTGCCACTGAATTCTTCTATGATTTCTGACACTGCCTTAAGTTCTCTGTTGACTGTGAAGTATCTAGAAAAGTGACTAAACAGATATATCAGTCTGGAGAAGTAAATGAAAGATACTTATTTTCAGTCTTGACTTGCTGATCAATGCTTTTCTTTTGTTATATTTTTGAAGATTATTTTTCTCTACAGTCCTGCTGTAATGCAGTGATATTCATTGCTGCAATAACACAGCAGGCAGAAGGAATGCAGCCAAAGTCAACTTAGTCCTTTGAAACTGATGTCAAAGAGATGCTATTTTGTTAAGGAATTGTCATGTATCCTCTTGGTTAAATGGATTTGTGATTTTGCAATATGTGGTGTTAGCTGAGATAAAATCTGTCTCAGTGTTTATTGAAACTGATATACTCATGTATTACGCCAGATTCAGCAGCTCTGACTAACCAGCTCATATATAGAGCATTAGCAAATATAAGCTGTCACTGACATGTATGCCTGTGTTGACTTTGTTACCTAGTAATCAATTTTGAGTGCTTTTTCTTAGGATTACCTTTTCATCTGGCATTCCTGCGGGCTTTTATAGCAGAAAAATCTCTTTTAAGTTACTAGGGAAACATTTCTTTCCTGCATTAACTAAACAGTAAAAGCTACAGCCAGGAGTAGAGGTAGGAGTTGAAAAAAATTCCATGAGGCATTATCTAACTTCACATATTCCAATGCAGAGTAGAAATCTGTGCCCTCTAAGTGATGTCTGATGAAGACTCCCTGCATACTTCATGGGAGACTGAATGACTTCAGCATGTGGTCTGAAACATCAACATGTTGATCAGGGAGATTTCTTGGCAAAGTCAACAGCAAAATTCTCTACCCCGTGCTACTATTGAAGTGCCTCTGCATGAGCTGCAGTTAATTATTTTCACTAGTTTGAATGCAATGGTTTGTATTTTCCCTGGTGGAAAGACACCCACAGTAATTTTTAAGAGAACTGAATGGTGTTCTATGTTTTATGGCACCATTTTGGGGACCATGTTGATGCTGCTTCCATCTATCTTCTGTTACTAGCTTGATCTGACATCTAACTCAGAGTACCTGGATGCGATTGCCACAACAGCCTGAAAAGGTCAAGCTCACGTCTGTCTGTCCAAGCAGCTCATTCTCTCACCACACAAACAGGTGAGAATGGCCAAGGAAAAATCTTCATTTTGAAGAATTCAAGACTCACTGTGGCAAGACAGGAAAAGTGGAGACCTGGACTTTACAGCCTTGTAGCTTTAATACTGCATAAAAGAGAGCTATTCCTGTGTACTTGTCTCAAAAACTCTACACAATTGATTCGGAACAATCTTTAGATAAAATGCATAAACAATCTCAAAGAAAATACAAACCCAGTATTCCCTCTTTCAAATGACAGTGCTGTAAGGCAAAAATTTATGCTCTCTTCCTCTAGCCCTATCAATCTTCATGTCTTCACTTTGCAAAGTCCTAGCTCCAACGGAAAGGGGATAAATGCCACATCCTTACCCAAAATGACCCTGTGTCCTGGGAATTCCAAGTCATCAATGAGACTTAATTTTCCTCATTTGGGAAGATGTTATATTTCAGGGGAAACATTTTAAATGATGAAGCTCTTACAAAAATACTTCTTTTTCTTCCATCATGATTGGATTCAAAGATCTTAAAGGTCTTTTCCAAACTAAACAATTCTATGATTCTATGATCACAAAACTGTTCATGAAGCAGAGTTTAATCATGATCACCTGAATACATATCATCCCAGCAGAAATTCCTTTATTTAATAACTAACACCTAGATACAATTCACAGAATGCAGTATCACTACGAAATATGAATCACAATAATACTTTTTGCATGCATAATGGAGGAAATGTACTTTTTCCATTAAGCATGTAATTCATCTCTAATGAAGAGAGCCTGTAAAATCACAGAAGCAACACAATAGCCACTAAATATTTTGCTGTCTTTCAGAGTAACTCACATACTTACCCTCTGTTTGAAATATGTTCTACATATTTGTTTGTGAGTGTCAGTGTGTCTAAGCATATATATGAGTTGGAATTCTAGTGTCTAAATATAAGATAATTAGAAAACAAAAAGCTTCTAAGAACGAGATTTTTTTGTGGTTGACTAAAGTTTAGTTAAATCTGTATTTAAATGGCTCTCTTCAAATTTTGTGACATGGAGGCTTCAGCATTGCATCACTGTTTTTTGAAGTCAGACTGAAAACCAGCACAAGGTTCATGTCATAAGTACATTTCCTACATAAAGAAATGTTTTTACCCAACACTGATGAGAACATATTCTCAACAGTATTTTCAGATTTCTACTTCACAGTTTTAAGATGAAGAATATGAATATACCACTTTAAAATACCTATATGGTGGGAGGTAAGCTAAGTGCTGCAAATTGCTGGACTGCCAAAGGAGATCTTTTTAATTAACAAAATAACTGCATTTTTCTGTTTCTGTATTTTTGTCCAAATGCTGATTTAGTAATGACAAAACATTTGACTGCAAAACAAGAACAAGTTTTTTTGGTTTATGCAGATGATAAAGACAGGGAAAATGCATATTTTAATAATTGTCAAAAATTTCTAAACCTCTCCCCAGCAGAACTGCACACTTAAGATTTTGCTCTCACACTAATCATTTCACAAGCTACCAAAGTAAGAACCAAAAGTCGCATTGAAGAGTAGAGATCCCTGCTTTTCTGATCACATAAATTTCTAGCCCTAGATCAGTCATCTGTCATAGTCAAAACTGGAGCTGAATTACATTTAGTGATAATTCAAACAAAATTAAAATTAATCACATTCAAAATAAAATTAATTAATCAGATGCTATTATAACAAGACAATACATGTGCTACTCATTGATAACAGTGGAATAAGAAATGCCAGTGCATTATCCTGTGCTCACCAGAACCAGATTGTTACCAAGATTTGACAAAGACCGCTCACTGGTAACAAATAGAAGCTTAAATCTAGCCAAACAACTCAGCTACAGAGAGAAGTCCAGAGCCCATAGCCAGGAAGTGGGATCCAGAATGGTGTGTTAGGGACCATGACTCCCAGTACAGTGCAAGGGGAGAATAAGGCACTTCGGGTCTTTCCTAGAGGCAACAAATAGGAAACACAGATAATGAGATGGGTCATAGCTTCTCTCTTGAGAAGCAGGCACTTCAGCCCCAAGCAAGTGGCTCTCTCCACTGGGCATTCAGACCACAAAATGCTTTCTAAACTTACTGTATTAAACGTGGCAAACCTCACTCATTTCTTTTAGAAGCATATTGGAGGAGAAATTAAAACCAGTTCCAGCAACAACATTCTGGGGTCAAAGCAGTAGTCCAGATAGTCATTTTAGATCTGAAAGGGGTTGTAATCCTGATCTTCTCCAAGCCCCCAAGTGCTCCACCATTGAATTACAGGCAGCCTACCTGTGACTGCTGCCTTACAAATACATCAGGTACTTGGTATCTGGGAGCCTAGTGTACAAACCTATCACATATGTGCTCTTTATCAGCTCTCTAAAATGTTTTTGACTTGATTTTTTTTCTTTCTTCCAGATGAGTTGAGATCAGAAGGGTAGGCTTCAAAGACTGCCACTGCTGATGCAGTATTTATACCACTGCCATGTGCATCTAAAAATACAGGAAATGTGCAGCTCAGGACAGATCTGTGAATCTATGCAAATAAGAGAGAGTACACTTCTACCTTTTTTTTTCTTTTGGCTTGTGAAAGGTTTTATATGAGCTAATAAATATAAAAATATTTTGTATTCCTAACTACAAAATTCCGTAATTTATAGTAGTTTTTCTAATATATATTTTATTATCACATCTGTACAGGCTGGCTTTCAAGAATAGCCTTAAAAAGCATAAGCAACAGAGTAGTTCATCTGTGACTTTTATAATGGGCCATAAATGTTTCAGAAGAATGGTCTGGCAAGAGACTTCTTGACTCATATTTTGTTCTGCAGGCTCTGAAAACAAAGAATGTGCATGTATTCAACAATAAACTGTACAGTTTTTGTTTTGAACTTTGGCTTAATTGAAATCAGTGGCAAAATTCCCCTCTTTTTACGATGAACACTGTGGTAAAAAAATAATTTGCTTCATTGTTATTAATGCACTGTTCTTTCTTCCATCCTCTGTATTCTTTAAATCTGAGTTTTATTTATATGCTGATATTCCTGTAACTGCAAACCTAAAGAGGAAGTCTCTGTTCCCATATATTCTTGATTTGCCTTCTGCATTTTTCTACATGATTCCTCTTTGATCTGCCTCTGAATTTAATAATGAAATTTGACTCAATATCCCTTCCACTATATATAGCTCCTGCTACATCATGTTCTGTTACCTATCATCTGACAGTGTAATTCTTGAAATCCGGCCATTTAATTTGGTCCAAGAAAATGTATCATTTAAGAAAAGGCCATATTCATTTAACTAAGTGAATGCACATTTCTGTTTTCTTACCAAGCATTGGTGTGTGGGCAGTTTCTCATATGGGGCAGGGGGTGGGAGGGGAGGATGGTGGGGATGATGGGTGTTGTTCACAGAATCCTATCAGCAAAAATGGCATTTGGCAAGAATATTAACTACAATAGCAGCATTCATGGTTTGGTTTCTAAAGACGTTATAATCTTGAATATTCTCATTTCCTTTTTGCATTACTGCTGCCTGCTATGGGGCTAGGAAGGTAGCCTCACAGAATTTCTGAATTCAGATTTCACCTTCCCCTACCATGGGACAGGAAATGAAACCTCCTAAAGCCTGGGATCTCTGCATGAATGGAGGGCATTGTAGATACGCATCGTATTTCACTCTTCCCTGCTGACACCCACAATGTCAGTTCTTTCCATCACTGGGACTGTTTTTAAAGACAAACGCAGTGTCTACCTCTTAACCAAGTCAAAACATTTTATTTTCTGCTTTTCCAATTTCCTAGAACCCGTGATTAATATCCCTATCAAATTACCTGATGTTGAGGAGAGTCAACAGGACTATTCCTAATATGAGAGCTATGCAGGAGGAGTAGGCAATAATGTAGACTGTTTCACCTAAAAGTAAAAAACAGAAAACAGACATGAAGTGTTTACTTTCTCAGTAATAAGAATCAGATTTGAGATCTGAACTAGAATGCGTACATATGTAAGCTAAAATAGCTATCAATTTTGACATAAGTAATTAAAAGGAGGGAAAACACCTAAAATGGTATGTCAGTGGTAGGAATAACTCTTCCTTCGCCAGTTGGTACAAAGCAATTTTCAGACTTCTTTTAGTAAATACCAGCTCCAATAGCACTTCACAGGTGTAGCACTACCTTTTACTCTGCTCCAGGGGAACAGCTTGTTACTCTCATTTGTGTTTTAGAGTATTCTCCCTATTCATTTTAAAATGTTAATTTTTTTCTGTGTATCAGAGCAGACCTGGCTCCTACTTGCCTTCTAGCCTTCTTTTCCTTTTTCACATATTACAATAATTACAGTGTACAGCAATACTTGATCTAGAATCAAATTAATGTAAAATGGGATTTAGATTTAAACTCTGTGTCTGGGCTCCATTCCCATGCAGTTTCCTCTTTCTCTTAGGCTTCTCACCAAAAAGTCACTTAGGTGGCTTATGTGCTAAAAATTCCAGCTGTTGAAAAACTGGGAGCTGTTTCAACTTTTGTTTTCCAAATGAGGAGAAACTTATTTTTCCTGAAGGAATGAATCCATCAGTTTTGATCAAATATTCTGAAGGAAATATTTCAGTTGAGAGTGTAATGGAAGTCCTGGACATGGTATGGAGAGGTGTGGAGGTTAGATGACTTGACAGGAGGGCATAAATGCAGAGCCGCAAACATAAACCACGAGACCTTTCTGTGACTTTCCTGTTGCACTGATTCTGTCATGTTTATACAATCAAATAAGTTTTATTTACATAGAAACTCAAATGCAGAGAGCCTTAGCTGCTCCACCTTACATAGCTGGTGAAACATTCACTGAAGAAGAAATGGATTCCTGGCCTCATCACTGGGCCACTTATCTGGGCTGTGAGAAGGTCAAATTCTGGTCTCTGAATAAAGTTATCAGTTATTATATGTCTTGTGTGTTGTTTGTGCATATGCACACACAAACCCTAAATGAGACATTTCTGTATACACTACATAAATGCAGCAGATGTAGCATTACAGTGTAATACAAACACAGGCTGTTTGGATGCTGGAGTAGCTCCAGTAAGAGAGTGAATATTTATTCTACAGCAGGGCAAGCAAGGAGTTGAACAGGGGGTTGGATTTGCCTGGCTTTTATGGTACGATGGTGCTCTTTCTCAAAAAACTACCCCAAATTCAAGTTTTCCAATACAACAAAAATTAAAGCAATGATTGAACCATCACAAGTTGCACAGAACGAACATACCACTTAATCCAGCAACCTACTGAAAGATATTTAACATGGTGAATTTTTGAAGAAAGAGGTGTGAGGTCCATTTTTGTCTCAGAGCAGGATTGTTAAAAACATATATTAAAAACCAGATCAGCAGCTGGCCCACCTCTCAAGTTACAACATTTCTTTAAGATAATGAGTTTTTGCAAAAGAGTAATTTGTAGGCATTTTTTCCAGTTTCTGAATCTTAATTTTGCACACAGTCATTTTTAAAACCTTTTTACAAGTGCAGGAGCAGTTGTAGGAATAACAGTTTCCTGCTGTTTTGAAGTGGAAGTGAATTTCACACACATTTTAGGCAAAAAGAAGTTTTTAAAGTACATCACTTACCACAATGCTAGGAAAATCGTTACACCTTACAAGTTTTTAGGAATAACAGCCATGGGTAGTTAAAAATGGGCTAATAAATTTCCACTGAAACATTGTGATATTTTTCTTAAAAATTTGTAGGAGGTGTTTCATTTTGATTAAAAAAGCACTCTTAAATGATCAAATGAAATAAAATTTTTCTATTTTTTTTGTCACAATCTTAAAAAATGCTGTGGTTTTGGTGAATTGCTGGTAAAAGAGATGTTGATAAAGTTCTGTTGGGAACAAAAGAAGGATGTTAGTGATGAGATCATGCTAGAAACCATGTATTTTCTCAGAGCTGCAGAGAAGGAAGGAAATTTGTGAGGCCAGGAGAAGGCAAAACTTTGTGGCTGAAAAGCTAATTCTGCGTTTTATATATTCTTTGTGGTTAAACTACTGGTATGTATAGAGACACAAGTGGATGGTTGGTGTTTCCATGGGGCTGTGAGGTGCTGGGGTCGCTGCTCTGTGCCGTGGAGGTGGCCTGTAGTCATGAGAAACTCTTGGGCCTCCTCACCTCATGGCAGGTCTATCGCAGGGCCCCCGTGTCTGCATGATGTCCTCAGGGACACGACGACTGGGGCTGTAGGTACCACTGAAGCACTAGCTGGAGCTGCCTACACAGACACACGGACATTTCCAGTCATGAGGCTTGGTAGAGGGTAACTGTGGGTCAACAGCTGGAACAATTAGTGGGATTACACTCTATTGTAAATCTACCTGCTTCTGTATACACAGTGCATATTCATCGAACCATCATGCCAGCTTGTGCTCAGATGTTTCTTGGCTACCCACAGCTTGTCACAGGCGTTTTTCTACATTTAAAAAACAGTCAGATGGACAATGTTTCATACCTTACAAATTAAAGTCACTGGAGCTGAACTAATCTCAGTTCCCACAGCAGCTGGTATAATTATAGATAAACCCTGCCAATTACTTGTTTATCTAGATACTCAGCACAGCACAACTCCTCAGCAGAAAATATATAACACTACAATTTATGACAAAATGAGATTAATTTCAACAGTCTTGGGTCAAGCCCAATTTTATTGTATCTCACAAGAACAGGATAAACGTTCTGTATTTCTTGCTTTCTCTTCCATAAAAAACCCCCTAACTTAGCTCCAAAGCTCTGTGCTGATGAATGTCAATGCTTATCTTCACACACTTTAATTTTTCAAATTAAAGTGTGGGAAGCAGTCTTTTAGATTATGTGGATCTGTAAAATCGTGGAAATAATTTGCATAGGATAAAGTCAAAACCAGGCTGAAAATGCATAATTAGATATGGAATATCTTTGAAGTTTGGAGAAATTTTGATTTATTTTTTTTTTCCAAAAATGGAATGATTTTTGGATATTGTTTCCAAAATGACATAAAATTCTGGCCCCACCTAAACTTACAGCAAAAGTCTCCTTAACTTTTACATGGTCATGACTGACCATATCACATCTTGTTAAGAGAGTTTTATCAGCCCACAGATGACTGTGTTGGCCTGTTCTCCCCTGAGAATGGGAATGTGTTTAGATCCAGTCAAGATTTTTACAGAATCCTGGTATAATTTTTTTACACCAAAAGCTGGAATAATATTTTTTCAACTACTGCAGTTCTATTTATTTGCAAATATATTTGGATATATGTATATATGTTCAGACTTATTGTTTATTATGAAAGACTCCTTTTATTAAAGCAGTCTTACCCAATGAGATGATTCACAATGCTGCTGAGTAGAATGGAGAAATCTGTTTTTTTGAACAGTAAGCTATTTTTTGAAGAAAAAAATTAAGAAAAAGCTGAAGAAATATTGAGTTTTCTTCTGAGCATGGTCATCTGTAGATGGTCATTCATTTCAACTGGTGAAAGAGTTTCTTGTGTCTTTCAGTGACAAACTAAGTAAAGGCTTCTTCTGATATTTTATTGTAGTGACATCAGCAGATTGCATCTCCTGCTTTCCAAGCAGAAAATAGCCAAGAAGCAAATAACTTCAAAAGCCTTCACACACACAAAAGGCCACATTTGACAATTTAACTGTTTTGCCTCTGCACCCTGAGATTCTTCTTGGGATTTTATTTCATTAAAGATAAATATTTTGTGAAGATGATAACTCCCTTTGCAGCCTGAGTAATGCACATTTACTAGCAAATTTACTAGGATACTGGGTTAGTTTTTTGGCTGTAGGATTTATGAAACAATTTGCAATGTGGTTTTTATCATCAGGTAGATATCCTGAATCAAATTGTTCTCTTTGCCTGGCTTCCTATGAGACTTTTATGGCTTAGAGAGTCCCCATCTAGTACATGACAGCTCCAATAGAAGGAATATTTTATTGTATAGTTTAGGCTGGTCAGCGTTCTTTTTATTTTTCTAAGGCCATCCAAAGTTCTGTTAAGACTTCAAGGAAAGGTTTTTGGAAAGTATTCAGACTTCAGTGGGAACAGAATTAACTGGGTGCAGGCTGCTTTTTTTGCAAATATTTATCTGAATCCCTGAGGGAAATGTATAATATATTTTACCCACTGAAAGGGTCTGCAGTTAGAACTAGTCCCAGGGGTGAAATATCTTGCATTTTGCATTTTCTTACTTAGAGCAGGATTTCTTGTATTATGACTTGCATTATTTAACCACTAGAGTCTCTTTCCAGCAAGAGATTCAGGCTCCCTCTGTACTTGGCAAAAAGAAGTCAATGCTTCCAGAAAATGCAGTCTGAAAATATTGGATTAATCTTCTTTTGAGGGTCCCTGACTTTCTTCTCTGGTTACACAGAGCACTTGGATGACATGCATAATTCTTAAGTAGTTTTAATGCCAACACTACGGCCAAATGCTTAATTATTCATTATTATTATATACAGGTCTCAGGAATCCCATTCTCTTAGTCTATTATTATATTTCCCAGGTTGCCCACTTCAGCAATAGTTGAAGGATGGAGAGGATAGAAGTCCCTTCATTTTGTACTACATCCAGAGACTGAATTATTTTTTCACTGTTTAAAGTGTTCTGTATGACCTGTTCTGCAAACTGGAGTATTGCAATCTGTCCTCCACAAGGTAGAACAGGTCATTCTCATTAGAGTTGATATTTGTGCATTAAGCTCTTTAGTGTTCTCACTCTGTAACTGGGTCCCTCAAAAGAAAATATAAAATAATATTATTTCAACAAAGAGAAAATTTATATATTAATTCAGTATCCTTTAACTTTATGTTGCTTAATTGCTTACTGTAAATGCATTGAAATAAAAGCAGATATAGCTCTTCAGCCCATGGGATATCGTGATCCACAACTGCGTGTCCTTCTTTAGTATGAGAAGGTAAAGTCTGATGCAGCATAACACAAGCCCCTTTTCAGACCACTTACTGCAGGTTCCTAATTTTGTTGTTGTAACTACTACAAAAAGTCAAGAGAGATAAAAGTAGTTATGACATCAAAGCTAATAATTTGTATTACACATTACGACTACTACTCTCTAATGACTGTACAGAGAGTCAGGCTCTGGAAGGTTTAATAGCTTAATTTTCTAATTATAATATAGTGATCGTGAGACATCTATTTCAAAAGCACTTATCAGAGAAATTGGTTCAGTCTCATTAACTTTATTTTGTGGTTATATAAGCTAAGGCAAACAAGTAGGGAGCTATCCAGGTTGAACAGGACAGGAAGAGGTTGAGCTCGCTTGCCTGAACCCACTCAAGGGACCCAACCTTTAGTCTTTTCTATCATACATGAGGGATATTTCAAGAGTACTTCTATGGAAATTATGGAGTGACTTGCCCAAACTCACCACTAATTGCAGAAGAATGGAGCTGTGCTCCAGAAGGCTTCTTCCCTGGCATTTCTGTATTTACCCAGCCAAAACCATTCTTCTGAATGGAAATTTGACCTGAATATTGGAAAGAAATTACCCATTCAAAATATTGCTTAAAAAAATAATTTAGGTGACTATTGCATTTTGATATTTTGATAACCATCACAGAATTTGTAAAGGGAGTTTTAAAAAATACTGTTTACTGATACTCGATGAACAAGTTGAATGAGTGTATAACAGTTTTTCCTTTCCCATCTCAGTTAAACCTCCCATGTAGTTTGTCTTATGGGGGACAAGCACACTTCGAACATATTCTCTGCCACAAAACAGCTTAAGTTCTCTTTTCACATAAACTATTTTAAAAATAGGCCCACCAGAAGAATTGGGCCCATCAAACCAATATAAAAGTGATGAAAAATGGGTTGTACTTAGAAGTAATTTCCAAACCACAGAGTTTATTCTCTGAGTTGACAGACATCAATACATTTTTTCACAAAGGCCTATTCTTGTAGTGGGCATAATTTCATGAATGTATCTGAAAATATGCATCTTCTGTAGAAATGAAAAATAGAGGGTTTACCTAAGTAGAACAGTTTACAGAGTAGGAGGCTAAACCATACAAGACTGTGCATGGTCACTCACATGAACTCTAAACTGAGAAATTTTTATTCCCTTTAGGAATGAAAACAATATAAGAAAGGCTCACATTTTCAGCCTGGAACATTGTCCAAATAAAAATAGATAAACCTACCTGCAATTTATTTTTTTTCTGTGCGATCCAAAAGTACAACCCAGAGTTAAAATATTTTGGAAGCTTCAATTTTAGCTTTCTCTCACTGACATTTTTGCCTATTCCTATTGTGACACCAATCCTACATTGGCACTGATCCACACTGCGCTTCTGCCTCATGTAGCAGCCAGTCACAATTCTTGCCTTTTACTGAGTCTGCAGCAAATGTAATCCTGTAAGCACAGCCCCGAGAGCATCTGCTCCTAGCAAAGGCAGTGCCATACAAGAGTAGGAAGATGAGATGGTGTAAACACCACTTGTGGGTCTGTTCACACCAGTTCTAGAGGTAAAGATCCCTTTTCCTAGCCCTGGGTATTTGCCTATTCAGAAAGACTTCAGTGTTAAAAATCACTGCCACTGTAAGAGTGAAAGTCATCCAAAGTTCACGCTCAGGCCAGATGGATGAGTTAGCAGGGTTAGTTAGGGGATGGGTGGGCTCTGCAACAGAGTAGTCACTCCATGTCTCTGAGCTGCCTTGCAGATAATGGCATTAAAATTGTGCCTTATAATAAAACCCGTAGTCATCACCATCATCAGTTTAGCTGCATTACAACTAGACATCTAGAAAAAAAAAGCAGCAAGATTCACAATAACCTGCAAGTGTAAAGTAGGTACTGATCCTTTACTCAGCCCAAGGTCCTGTTTCCCTAAACAAGTTTTGTTTAACTACCAGGAAATTGTTACACCCCATGAGCATGTAAGCTTCTGTTCTTCAATCTCAATTAGGTTAGGGAAGTTTCAATCACAAAATAACCTCAAACCATTTTATCCTGAGGCTGCTTCAGGGAATGGCAAAGCTCATGAGCAATTATTTGATTATTCCGACATGAGGATCATATTTTTTGTTTTGTAGAAATAACTAATACAACGTCTTCACTCATTTGGACCATTAAATTCAGCTGTAAAGCAAACAAACAAGTAACATTCAAAAGCAAAATCACTGCCAGTAGTCGCAAATCTAAGTGTGTCCCCTGCTTTTTCAGGGGAGTTGTTATATGATTTTTAATATTTTCTCAGAGTCTGAGTTTGAGTAATGATTAACTAAATTAACTAAATTAAGGGCAGTGTTTCAGCAACTTTATCATAATTTCTGGAAAGACTTTGAGTGACAAGAAAGAAAATTACACTCTTATCAGTGGTAACATTTTGGTCACTAGAATTAAAAAAGCAGCTAATTCCTTCAATGAAATGGATGCACACAATTATAATGGCCAGTCTTCGCGAGCGAAGATTTGGGAAAGGTCATTGACCCTTCGAGCCTGCGCAGTGGATTTTTTAGGTGAGACACAGCGTGCGCTGAACTGAGCCCACCCTTTAATCCTGAGGTTCATCTGCCGGGGCCGAGTGAAACTCGGACAGTGGTAGTGAGGGTCTCAGGACGTAGGTTTGTTTAGAGTGACCTTCTCTTAGATGGATTGCCTCACAGGGCTAACGAGCTCCATCTGCCCGGGGGGCCGGGAATCGAACCCGGGTCGCAGCGGTGAGAGTCCTGCACCCTAACCACTAGACCACCAGAGGCCCCATGCACACAATTAATATGTTTTCAAAAGGCAGTCCATCAGATAGAACTATGAAAAAGCCATTGCTTTTCATTGTAATATTTAGATATAGTTACCTCTCAAGCTAGTTTGAGAATATATATAATTACATGTAGAAGATGACTGGCATAGGGTATGATGCACTAACAGGTAATATATCCTAAGAGGATTTATATAGCAAAATAGCTAGTGTAATAGATCAGAGATTTGAGAGGAGGATATTCTGATCTTTGATCTCGTCAATGGACCAGATAATCTGGATGTAGCTGGAGCATTGCAGAGGTGACAGATGAACCCTCAGGTTCAGTTTTAAGCTGCAGGAATCCAGGAAAACCACCCTGTGATGCAGAACCACACCATGATGTGACCCATGACACTATGAGTGGGGACAAACAGGAGCTTTGCTTTAAAGGCACACTCCTGATTCAGACTAAAACATTAATATTTTTTCCCAATGCCATTTATTCCATTAGCAATTCTCTCTTAACTAAAGACTTGGCAAGGACCTTTATATTTAACAAAAATAAGTAGCTGATGTATTTAGCACATAAAAGGTGATACTGGTTCTGAGAAAGTGCATGCATTTCATCTGAGTTAAGGCCAGTGTTTTTAAAGCAGACCAAATCCTAAAGCCTCCATTCCCATATAAAGTCCTATTTAAATAATTGAAGTATTTTCTGTGGAATGAAGTCTATTGCTAAATAAGCGTAAGGTAGACTAATATTTAGTCTCCAAGAAGAAAAGAAAGAAAACCAACATCCTGCCTCATATTATTTGTAAAAAACAGTGTACCAAAGTACAACATTAAGTCAATGACAGGAAGGCTTTGGACTTTTCTAAAAAAAAGCTGCAGCTATAAATCTTGCTGAAATCTGTGGTATCAAAGATATAGTAAAGATCTGGTGAAAGCCAGCATCTTAATACTCTTTAATTATTCTTAGAGGTTTTATGTGTTACTCACGTAACTCACTGAAGCAGGATTTGCTGTGAAGCATGTGATGGAAGAGCTTGCACAAAGACTGCTCCACGGGAGGCAGATTCTGGCAGGTACACTCCACGTGCAGCATTGTGCCCCAGTTGCTAATGTAGGCTGCTTTGCAATCAGCATTTGCAGAACAGGGCATGTCATCCTTGATTAAAGTTTCAAGACAAGCTTCATCATCATAGCATTTTTTTGTCACGTGTCTCCAACACTTTGACCGAAAAGATGTGTATTTTTTCCTGGTGGAAAAAAAAAAAAAAGAAGAAAAGAAGTATACAATGACACTGTAAAAACTGTGATTTCAAGAAAAGGCATTTAAGGATCACCACTAAAATAGAGTGTATTTCCAAGTTACCACTTAAGCCTTCAAAAATTGCAATATTCAGTGATAGCTAGCCTAATTTCTGCTCTGATTTTGAGAAAAAGCAACTGCTCTTCTAATTAGCACCTGTGGAGATTTCCCCAGCAAAACATAGTGTGAATTCCAACAGTCTCTGATACTCAGAAAAAATGCCGATAGAGGAATCAGACCAGTCATCACAATGAAACCACACTAGGTGCTGTTCTAGTGGATCAGTTTGTTGGGCAGTGTGAAGGAAGAATGAACAGTCAACTTGTTTTATATTAAATAATCTACATTCTTTGTCAACCCCTTGTCCCCCCAAATGCTAACAAAATACAAAATGTCCAAGGCTCAGGAAAGTGTAAAGTAATTCAGCTGAACTTAAAAATTAATTGATAGCGGAGATAAATTACAAGAAGAAATAACTTGTTTCCCAGATCAATAATCTTCAGTTTATTTCCTCTTAGGATGGAATAAAATTGGCCTTTAATGCATTGTATATGACAATAGAAAACATCTATTATTAATTAAGAAATTTGTAGATTTCTTAGCACTTACATTAAATGTTAGGGGATGATAAAGGTAAATTCTTGTATATTGTACATTAAGATATTATTTTTCCTTAATCATAAAATTAGGTTATTAATTTGCTGTTGATATTGTGTAATGGCTATAAGGGAAGTCACATGGAAAAGCATGAACTGTTACAATACTGGCTAAGAAATTTCTGTAAATATTTTCATTACACAAGCAAAGTTTTCAAAGCAGATGCCACCTCTGTTCTAAGGAATTATTTTTATTCATCTCCTGATTTATAGATATGCCTAGCCACAATTAATAGACTAATTGCTCATTATATGCACTTATTGTCAGTGCCAGGAAACATTAATGTTCCCAAAATTATGGGGACTTCAGAAATTTTCAGTTATGATATTACATGTTTACACAGGTACAGACATACATTTGTAGCCCAATTCTTTTGACATAAAAAGAGGTAATTCCCACTGACATCAACCTAAATAATCTGTACAAAACCAAAATCATCTTTTGGCCTCCTGGTATGCTGACTGAAGGTTAATTTGAGCACAGCTTTCAGCTAAAATTCAGGTCTAATTCACAAGGGAACTGGTAACTAAACTGAAAATCAAAGTGGGCCAATTGACCATCCACAAATGGTGGCAATTAAGTAGAACTACAAATATGGGCTAATCCTGTTGCATGTTTTTTAAACATAAAATAAAATCTTGAAAGGGCATTATTCTTCATAAGTTTAGTGGTCTGTGCATGTTTCAGGCCAACTTTTTGCAAGAATCGGTATGCTGGAGACAAAGGGAGTAAGACAAAAGTTTTCTGAACAGGCCAAGTTGGTTGTACGGCTGTTGGGTACAAAGGGTCAGACTCTGCGCTTGAAAAGGTAATTAACCAAACAAACTTCATCTGGTCTGCTGCACCACTTGGGCAAACTGCTAGAGAGCAAAGGTGCAGATGGGCAGGTGTTATCTGAAGATAGTGGTAATGAAAATATGCAACAGTATTGTTTGTCCAGCAGAAATGGTGTTACGTGTCATGATACAGGAGGAAGAAAAACCATCACCAGATTCCAGACCTTTCTGAAAATTAATCTTTTCAGTTAACTTGTGAAATTACTTCTGGAATTACTACAGTTGATGTAAACATCTGTGAAGATGTCAAACACAGCAGATTCAGTGCAGAAAATAATTTTGTTATAGATGAGATATATAGCATGTATATATAAAAACGATTTGACCAAATCATTATTCAAAAGCACCTTACTATACAAAATACTTCTACTACTAACCTGCACAATTCATTCTCTTCACACATATGGATTACATTCAGGCACGATGGGGCTTGAACTGCAGTAACTGCACAGGGCTTGCCATGGAGAAGTTCTTTGGCTCTGTGGCAGGATTCATCATGCTGGATACAATCACAAAATATCATCATTTGAGCAACTTCAAAAGGCATGTTTTGATAGAAGAACCTTAGGGCTGCTTGACATTCTTCCATGTTGCACTTCTTATTTACTGAGCAAACTTTAAGGTACAGGGACAACTGTTTGTTACATACTTCATCTTCAACGCACTCCCTGTTCACATCCAAACAGGTTCTATTTGTTGTGTACACTAAAAAGAATAACAGTTTTAAAATGAAATCACAAGAAAATTTTTCTCAAGTGATGACTGGTAGTCACCCTGTCTGCAACATTCCCAGTAAAAACAAGTCTGACTCCCAAAAATTCTGATCCAGCTCTTCAGCAATGCTTCTTTTAAGCCTATTGTGTAATCTTCATACTTCTCTTTTCCACTGCTTGGCCCTCATAAGCAACCCTCCTGAAACTGCTGAGATCTCCATTGCTATGCTAGGCTATGTAAAAAGTAATGAAGAAGAGAATATAAACGGCATTTTTGTGCTTTCAAAGTTAGTTTAGATATTTCTAGACTGCACTGTAAACCTTCCAAAAATATCGAAAAAATTCTGCCCCTAAAATGTTTATGGGATAAGATTTTCCTCTGTAAATTTAACAGGATCATGATTATTACCTGGCATTTTTGAGTTCTTATCTACTCAGTGGCTTAACTAAAAATATGTTGAATCTGTTGACTCCCTGCTCACTCATCTGAATGAAAAGTATTAGTTTCAATCTCTAGGTACATTGTACACTATCTGAAAATAGAACTAAAATGATTTATTAGGATTCATAAGTAAATTCAGACTTACCTTGTTTTGAGAGAGCAGATAAACCCCATTGTAATTTGGTTTCCATACTAATATTGTCTAGAAGAAAAAGACACAGATACGGGCATAAGTCATAAATAATGTCTCAGCTTAGCTTTTTAACTTTAAGGTATTGGCTGTCTTGCTTGCATAGTGCCAGTAGTAAAAATGAACAAGAATAAAACAAATCAGTTTCACTGAGTAGAACCCGTTAACAAATTCTAAACCCTCTATTACATATATTCATAAGTTCTGGGATCAAAGCACAATTTATTAAAGGCTGCTGATAACATTCTTTACATAATTATAGAACCTGTGAACTCAAGAAGAGTTTTTTAGAGCTTACTGCATTATAAAGTCAGATTTCTTGTGAATAAATAAAAGCCGGAGGCCTTAATGGGTTCATCAGTGGACTAGTTTTCAAGTTGAACCAGCTGCTTGTCATGACCTAAAGTCAAGGCAAGTCGACAATTTTTGCTATTAGAAAATTATTGTTAATGGTCTTATACTGTTTCTAGTCATAAAGAAAAGCTAAAATGGACTGATTTGGATCAGGTTGTATCAAATTAACATATTGAAGGACAGAAGTATTTGCACCCAGGCTATCATTTTTCTATCATATTGTGAGTTCATTTATAAACAGGCCTTTTAAAATGAACTCATTTTCAATGTTAAAGTGCAAATGATTAAGAAAACCTCTTTTACTGACTGTGGACACTACTGTTATGTATGAAAGCATTCAGACTGCTGGAATAACACTAACCTGTGTCAGTGACCAGATTCTTCTCATCATCAACATCAGCATTATGGTCATCATCATCACTGTCGTCATCATGTCCACTGGGTGCTGAAGCTTGGCTCTCTTGAGAGTATTGTAAACAACGGTTGTTAAATATTCCCTTCCATATTTTAATGCATCTCATCTGAAGTGACTCTGAGCACTTGCACTGTCCCAGTACTGTTTTCATCAGTTCTTTCCATGCTGACAAACACTCCTGGTTGACCATTGGAAACCTGCACTTTGCTGCATCTGCCTGGCATGCTCTCTGGAAGCTCCTGTACAGGGCAAAGCAGGAAGGGTCCTCTCGACAGCGTTGTTTTGCAATACGGCAATCATTCACCAGTTCTTCTGAGTGCCTTTCGTCTTTGGGGTTTCTATGCTGCCTAAAACTCAGTTCAGTGTCTGATCTTGAGAAAGACTCCAAATATTCTGTACAAATAGGTACAAACAGAGATATAAATCAAATGGAAGATGGAGCATCATCATAGGTCAGCACAAAACACAGGAAAAGGATAATTGTCTTAATGCAATACAATGAACGAAACAGCCCTAGTTTCATTCTGAGCTGTAGGTAAACACAGAATAATTTCAGTCTTGTAGACTAATGAATCTTCCTCATGCTTACTGTGTGCTGTTATCTGTATAGTACAGTCCCCTTTAACAATACAGTTGCAAAACAGTAGTAAAAGAAATCTACACTAAAATTACTGCATATAAAGGGATACATTTCACATAATTTTAACCACCTACAGATTGGACATATCATGGATTATCATCTTAATCCAATGCATAATTTGTAAAGAGAAAATCACAATGCCAGCAGATGGTTCATTCATTACCTGAAATAGTAATTTAAGTTAGACAGGGAGAATTACTCATGAAAGTACCTACCAACACCATATGCTATCCTTTGTAGGTAAACTCAACACTAGCGTAACTGAATATGAACTTTTTTTCTATGCTAGTGAGAAATGTCATCTCAGTCGGCAAAAAAATATAAAATTACTTCATTTTGCTAGAAGCAAAAGCAACTGCTCCAATGACATCAATGTCAGGTTTTAGATATGCATCCTTCTTGTTTGGGGAAAGGAGTAACAGATCAGGATATTATTTCCCCTGCAATAAAGCCATATATTCTATGCCAGCAGGGAGTAATGGATCAGTGCCATGAATCAACGTTCCAGACTCTCATTCACTGGATGATTTTAGCTCTCTTGTGTCAGCTTTGCTAATCATTATGCCAGGAGACACTGGGTCACAAACTGCAATTTCTTTGTCCACTGAGTAATTCTCAATTACAGACAGGCTTTCTGAAGGGATAAGAGTTCTCAGAATAATAAAATGAACTGAGAAGAGCTGGGCCCATTGATTACAACATAAATTTTAAAAGATGCATTTTACATATTATGTACAGCTTTATGAAGGTGGTGACTATGTTTCCTACATCCAGTAACCTCTCCCAGATGTAGTAAAGGTGCTCCTGCAACACAGTGTGACACAACTGCACCACTGTGCATCCCCATTTCCTCACACTCCCCTTCATAAGGTGGCTGGATCTGTCTGTCTACATATAACCTAAATCCAGTGGTGCTCAAACCTCCTTGGGCAATGAGTAGCCCTCAACACACATTGTGTTTTCACTCTTGCTTTCCAGTGGATTGAGCAAGAGCCTTAGAAACTATCTGAATTTATCACATACATTTTATTGGTTTTGTTTATTTTAAAGCAGATATGGCATTTCTTTCATATGGAGTGTGAATATCATAGAAAAGACAAAACTAATTTGGCAGAGGAATTCTCAGAGTTGAGAAATATGTAAAGAAATTTGAATCCAGTTAAAATGGGGGTTACAAAATTACTCAGTTTGTTCTTCATAATTAAAACTGTGTTTAGTTACCTTTATTAATGCTGCACTGTTTCCCAAGTAAAGTTGTGATGCTACAGATATTGTCTGTAGTGCAGACAGTTTTTAAATTCTGGGTAATCATCAGCCTGGACCTGGATGATTCTATTATATCCAGCAGTGTCTTCTGCCTTGCACTTATTACCTAGAACTCACCATTAAAATTATAATGTTCTTAATGTTTATGAGCACTTAAATGATACGTTTATATAAAACAATTCAATTGAAGCACAAAAATAATATGCTTTGCCAACAGAAGATGGCTTGCACTTAATTTTGTTTGAAAACCTGTCATAATTTACAAATTTTAAATAATATTCAGAGTAATATAATAAAGTCGCGAGTACAATATTCCCTTCTTTTATTTCATGTGACCCATTGCCAGAATATCTGTTCTCATTTACAAGGTACACAAAACCTTTAACGCATACCTTTTATTCTAAGTAGATGAGGCACAGAGACCAAACTGAAAAGGTGTAAAGGAGTTCACATCCTGAACTGAGGCCCTGAGAGACTGATCTTGGTCCTGTGTAGAAATGAGGTGCCTGGTATAGGGACAGGAATTCACAGTGCAGGCTAAGGCACTGCCACGTAACAGAGTGTGAGGGAGAGGACACAGATGGGAGACCTAGTCCTGTGATAATGGTGATGCTAACCCCAGGCTGAGGAGATGTCAGCACTAAGTCAGATTCTCTAACTCATGTCAGGATAGCATGAGCCTACAAGTGCCATTTGGATATACCCTTGGACAGTTACTCTACAGAACCACTTCATTGTCTGAGAATGACAACAAATTTAAATTAGTCCAAGAATACTCTGATTTTTAGAGTTTTTTTATAATAAAAATAAAGGAGAAGTTAACATAAAAAAATATGCAGAAGCCCTAGCTTACCAGCCCAGTTTTAAGCTCATTGCTTGTGTGTGCATTTGGACTCAATGACAAAGACACTCACACAGGCTGTCAGGTCATATTTTCCTTGTATGAGTAACAAAGAGCATATACTAGTTTCTGTACAAAGGTAAATCAATCAACTCTCCACTTTATGAGCTAAAAGTTTTTCAAAGTATTTTATTATTTATTATTAAGAAAGTTACACATTACTTAAGAATGTTACATAAGAAGCAGTTTAACACCATTTAAGAAAGTTTTATTTTGTTAAAGCCATGAGCTACCTTGTCAAAACAGGTAAGCAGGTATCCAAACCAGCACATTTGCTCTCTTCACCTCATAGATAGCATCTCACAATATGTCAGACAAGGAGTACGTGGTTCATGAGATCCAACCAGATCCCAGGGCAGCATGAGGATCAGTTTTAACCTACCAAGCACTTTGGCTATTTTCTCTGCCCTGTGAACGCTGCTGTCTGGCTTCCTGCCTTGCTGCTTCCCCACTAGCCTGGAGCAGCAGAGACTGTGCACTCCAGTAAAACTGAAAAGTGAGAAGCTATGTGTCACTACCACCATGGGCAAGATTTAATGTGATTAGAGTTTTAACATCATTTATATGTTGCTGTCACAAATAGCAGTGGAAAGCAATCTAGGCAAAGTTCTGGAAGAGGAAACTGCATTTTGCTTGTGCCCGAAGGAACGAGAATCATCTATTCCACAACGCACATCCACATCCTGCCACCCCTTTTTCAAACCGTGTCTGCACTGCCCTTTCTTCAGTTGCTGTTGCTAAGGAGGGTTTGGGGGCGTATCAAAAAATGCACTGCTACAGGGGAATGTCACAGGCCAGCAAGAGCTGCAGTTCCCAGCCTCTGTTCCCACTTCACCCCTTGTATTATTAGCAAAGGAGGTGGTGATGGTGCCTGGGCTTGCCTGTATCTCTTCAGCCGCATCTTCAACTTGTCTCCTGCATTTTCAGAAGTAGAGCATGACCCTGACCCTTAGACCTCACACTTTCAGTAGCCAAGGAGATCAGAAGATCTACTGAAGGTCATGGATATAAAATACTCCCTGACCAAGAAACTAGGGTGGAAATAATATGGTGACATGGGAACTATGGAGGCTCAAGAAGGTGGGAAGATATTCTCCTCTATGTTTTATCAAGTGAGTAAGGGATAATAGAAGAATTTCAGGAGAATGAATTCCATGGGTAGAAAAAGAACAACAAAGATCAGGAGGGGCTTGGGTAAAAATTAGCTTATTGACAAAATTTATGACTTTCTTCTTCAAGATCCCGAGGACACTTCAAGGGTGGAGGTGAATAGAGATAGAAGAATAAAACCCACAAAACCCAATATACCTTATACAGCACCCCAGCCTCACTTAGCTCACCTGTGTTCATGACACTAACATGTCATGGTCAGAAGTCAGACACAGGGCTGTGTTCAGAATGGCCCCATGTGCTGTGAGCTGAGTCACAGCAGCTGACAACCAGGGGTGAGGGCAAGGTTGTGGGGCTATGAACATACAAACAGCACAGATAGAACCAGGAAGTACATCAGATTTATGGGGTTCCTTTGCCTGACTTCTTGAAAATTGTGTAGAAATAACCTATTATCAGTATTGGTCTGTGTGTACACTGTATTGATTCAGCTGTGATGAACAGCAGAAAATATTTTATTGCTGGTTTTCAATTATTGGTGTTTTACCAGTGATTAGTTCTAGGTAATATATTTTATCTTACACATATGCTTCCAAAGCATTTCCAAAAAAAATGCCCACTTAACCTAATATTTGGCAACCATTACCCATAATTAGATTTATTTATAAGTACATAATTGATGTACATGGGACCACAAATAGAAGCATGACAGAGTAGAAGCTGACACTTCCAGAGTGATAATCTCTGTTCTTGCATAGTCAGCTTTTCAGTTGTCTCAGTGGGAACTGCAGTTGAAGACTGTAGAGAAAAGTCTTTGGTTTTCCCCTCTAGCACTGGTGAGACCACAGTCTAGACCTCCAGAGATCCCTTCCAACCTCAATATTCTGTTATTGTAAGAAAACTGAACTCATCCAAATCTAATTCAAAATGAGATTCCTTAAAATTTAAGTGATCTGAGGGTTTTTTCTTTGAACACAGATGTTTTCAGTTCAGAAAAAATTAAGAAAATTTATACTCCTCATTAAATCAGAGCTCAGAAATACTTATTTTTTTTTCAGTGAAATAACAGAAGAAAAAAAGAACCCTAAACCAACAAACAAACCAAAAAAGCCCAAAAGGCAGAAGAAGGATAGGACTCAGAGGACTATAAACTGAGACTCTGGAAATGCTGTTGTAGTAGTAGGGAAACAGCGATCAAAAGTTTGACAGGAAAAAGAGTGACTTAGGCAGTCATCTGGAGAGTGTTCCCAGACATGCTCTGAAGAGCAAAAGATAGAGGTCTTGATAATCACACAATTAACTTTGAGGTTACAGTCTGAGGGACTGAGTTACTGAACTCATACCACAGAGCAGGAGTGTAATTATCATTTGTAATTAGGTTTTGCATAAAGAAACAAACAAAACAAATATTTGCCCCATTGGCTATTACCTTCAAGTAACACATTGGTGCTCAGAACTGAAGGGCCTTTTCCATTCCTACAGTTCATCCATGAAGTTTTTAAGACTTGCAAATAACAGACAGTATAATGTTACTCTTACTAATAATGCTGCAGGTAGATTTTCTCTCTCTGTTTCTGTGGGCTCTCCAGGAGGTCTGACTGACTCAATTTACATGCTCTGGGATCATGGTTCCTAATAAGCACATTTAGTATAATTTGTCCTAGACCCAACACAATACCTGAGTGCTCTGCGATGCTGGAGAGTACTTGCCAAAGCTATTATCCTAAAGAAACATACAGATGCAAAACCAAACAAGCAATCACAAGAAGAATTTATTTCTGCATGGTTTCTCTGGCGGAGTTACAAATACCTTTAATATCAGTGAATAAGTATATAGGATGATAAGTAAGATAAACAGTATATTATGGGACAATGCAGTGCATCAAAAGGGGAGATCACAGAAGTAATTATGCCGGTCCACTTCATCTGGTTGCAGGGTATGATCATTAATAGGCTACAGCACAAAACCTGATCTTTATGTCAAGTAGTCTTGGTGCTACTGACTTCGTCAATGATGTGAGAGAAGCAAGTACAACTTCTTGTGATTTGGGGAAGAGGTCTGGTTCTAGAGAGCTCATCTTTTAGTCTCCCTGAGCCTGAAAGTACTGCATATTCCAATACTACTTTTTTTTTTTTTCCAAACAGCCACCATATCTTTTGAAACTGTTTCACTTCACATAAAATATTTAAGAGCTCAATAGAACCTGGACTGAAACTAATTTTCTTTGGGGACTGCTGTAACTGTTATCATGTCTTTTTCATTTAGTCCATCTATTCTTAAAAGTATTCAGATACTTTTATCTGCAAAGCAGATAAGTATCTGGAAAAAGACACACTAAGAAGGACCTCTCAGAGAATTTTCTGTTTTAATTATTTTAAATATTGCCTTGGGACATTTGGGTCATCAAATCTATGCAACAAATCAGACAGACAGAGGCATTCAGGTAGATTACACTACAGGTGAATGTTTCAGCAATGGCTCATTGACCACGAAGCCAAGCAACTTCTGCTGCCTGGCTTCCCTCACAAACAAACGTGGGATCAGGTCGTGACATCAAGACAGACAGAGGGGCATTCCCACTGTCAACTCTGCTGCAGCTGAGGCTCAGAACAGATTACGGCATCGCGACATTCCTGGTTCTGTTCAAATAATGTCATTATAAGCAGAAGACAGGTTTCCATGGAGATACAGATGCCTCTACATCCTGCCCACGACAGGTGAATTCAGTCAGGAAAGAGTCCCTGGCCCTTATCATTTCCTAGTGCTGAGGTAGCAATGTAGCAGCAAATCAAGGCCCTTGACATTAACAGTCAAAAAAGGTGCCATTACTAGCTTGGTCTAATGACACTATCAGACTATAGTGCAACAGCACCTGGAAGATGAACACTTAAAATTTAACAGAAAGGTCTTGGACGGATTTAAAGGAAGAGAGAGGTGGTAAATGATAGCCAAGAATTGTTCAAGAAGATAATAGGCCTTTGGAGAAAAGAACAGTTTCATCTGAACAACCACAGAGATTAGGATGAGTTTCAGGTCAAACTTATAATACCTGATCTTTCCCTACTTAAAACATAGTTTATTTGGAAGTAAAGCATCAGATACTGGAAGTGCAATAAACAAAGAAAGAGACTGATTTTCTGCCCTCATTTATGCGAGAATCTGTTTAACAATTCAAGGAGGCTTAACCGTGTCATAACCAGCACTTTATCATACTATCACCCCCTGCAAGTGAATTACTGTGACACATAGGTACTATTCATTGAAGAATTACAGTGTGCCTCCCTAAAACACAACTTCCTTTGAGGATTTCTTTATTTGATTATTTTCTTATTCTAGTGCAATATTTAAGAATTTAAGTAACTACTATATTATTTTGGATATTGTGTGAGATTATAGAATCACAGAACAGTTTAGGTTGAAAAGGACCTTAAAGATTATCTCGTCCCAACCTGCCTGCCATGGGCAGGGATACTTGCCACTAGATCAGGTTACTCAAAGCCCCATCCACCCTGGCCTTGAACACCTCCAGGGAGGGGGCAGATCAACTCTTCTAAATTACGTAAAACAAAGTTGGAACTTTTTTCCAGCTGCACACTGGCTTTGTTTAACTGGATCCCATAAGAGTATAAGTTCTGCTGAATTCAGACTTCTTGACTTGGTTCAGACTCTGACTTTGTTCATAGTGCAGAAATTTCATTTATCGCCTTATTGAAAGGACAATATGATTGTTACTAAAAATAGCATTGGCCATTGTCAAGGATTTCAGAAGTTGTCTGTCTGTTGCCGTAATTTTCTCTTTGAAATCTCATTGATTCATTCAGTTACCACAGCAATACTGTGATAAACAATGAATATGTATGATACAACAACTCAAAGATGCATACACCATAAAGAATTACCTGAAATATTGCAGGCATCTTCAACAACATTCCAGACACTCTCACATCCATTTGCAGCATTTATACACTGCTCCCTCAAATGCAGACAGTCAGCAGTCTGGACAGTAGATATACATGTGAAATACGTGAACAAAACTGTGAAAACAGAATACAGTGTTATATAGTTAATACAGTAGATATTGTACTGACCTTTTCCTTTACACCTTTTCCCTTTTTATAGATTACAAAAACATAATTTACTGTAGTTTATCTATAGATTCAAGTTTTCTGTCAAGTTACTTTTTAACAGAAGAAATCTTTTCCTCAGTTTTGCAACTGGAAAATTAAATTTAAATTTCTGAAGTTGCAGTGTGGCATATTTTGCATTGTTTTACCCCAGTATTATAACATCAACCATAGCTATATATGACATCAGTGCACAGACATATAGAAATTACTGCAGTTCTAAGATCCCTAATAAATTACAGAAAGAAAAACAGTATAAAATTCAGAGAAAACAGCATTTTATTTGCATGAAATCTCACCAAGCTAGATTATACTGGAATTCCTATGAATAAACTACGAGAAAGATTTGACAGGTACACAATTGTTAGACAATAAATGCAACTTTATTTTATAATAGAGTACTCTTCGCTCTGTTTTTACTTCACAGACTCATTATTTCTTGAAAGCATCACCCCCCAGTTTATGTCTTTATCTGCTTCCCTGAGGGCACTGAGCCTGTTAATTGCATAAAAAAGTTCTGAAACTGAGGACTGATATGGAGGTTTCAAGGTAAAAAATTTTAAAGTATCACCACCTGTGACTTATCAGTAGAAAATTAAATTGCCCTGCTAAGAAAAGAAAAATCACCTGGGGTTTCACCAACATTCCCATGGCAACACAACTTCTAAATTGTAACCACATGTCTTTATTTTCTATAAAACCAAGTTTCAGACACTGATTTCAGGCTTTATCAAACTAGCTGCTGAACACCTGATGTGAGTGTTTTCCTTAGTTGTTGAAGGACACAGCATCTTCTAGACCAAGTGTCCTTTTTCCCCCCCTCATGTTTACGTAAATTCATATGGAATTTGAGTAGTTTCCAGCAGTGTTTAATCCCTTAAACGTCCTGAGCAAGAGGCATGAAATATTCCTTCAAGACTTGTCCAGACCCTACCGGGAGAAATTAAATTTTTCCAATGATACATTTTAGAGTAAGAAATTATGTATAAAATATTCATCTAAATAATCTTAAAGAGTCAGTACTGTTTAGAGGTGATGACATCCCTTCTGGAAATTATATTTACCAGTGATATAATAGTGCTGCTGTAGGGAACACTTTCTGGATGCATGTTGATAAATATAAAACAACATTTAATACTACAGGTACAACAGCATCTAGTGTCCCTACAAGCCAAAGAAGAGGCCATATGTGCTTATTATAGCCGGTGCTAATCCTTCCTCAGTTGTGCATATTCCTGCCAGTTCTCAGATCTATGCAAGACTGTTGATGATTTCAGTGACTTCCAGCCTGAAATACTCTTTTAGGCTGTGTCTGTACGTCAGCCTTGAAAACCGATTGATAGAAACAGCTCCTGCCTCTTGACATTGAGGAAGGGGCAGCTGGCCCATCCATAGGAACAATTTCGGCTGATTAAGACAACATTTTAGTTCTGTGACTGTCTCCAAAAGGTCTAACTGTGAAATTACTCACTATTTATTCAGATGACAGAAGAAAAAACGTTGTCAAATACTTAACGGGTGAAAATGACTCTCTATATAAGACAATACAAAATTACAAACGCAGGAACTTATTAAGAAAAGGTACTTCGCTGGATGATCATTTGCCTATTTTGTAGGTACTGACATAACAGAAGATTTACGCATCTGATTAGGATTTGCAGCACAAAGACTCTGTGCTGTCTCCCTCCTGTTCCAACAGCTTTCGAGGAGCAGTGGCTGAAAATGGATACTCAAAGTAGGACTGACTGAACAGCCAATTAGCAGCACCTGCTCCTTTTTAAGGATTATTTCAGACTGTTGCTTATTTCAAACCCACCTGGAAACTGTGCCCACAAAAACAAGGATATGCTTTTGCAAAATAAAGAACTGAGTAGCGTAATCGATGATTGAAAGCAATTCAGTCTAAGAAAAGGCTTCGCTAGGTCTAATGATATATTATGGATGTGTCATTTGTTTCCTTAGCAATACAGAGGGGTACACTGCCAGAGGTACACATGAAACACTGTCCTATATGATTTTAGAATTCAGTGCACTATAGCTTATATAGTTGCTTAAATTTACAGTTACTACTTTAGTCATTCACTTTTGTTATTTACTCTAGTGTTTGGAATACTGACTGCTTCCTGCTTAAAAGAGTTCAGGGCATCTTAGTGGCTAAAACTTTTATAGGGACCCATTTTGACAAGAAGACACATATATTTAAATTTCTACAGATGTCTGTATTTTTATGCAAGTGACTATTGATTCATTGTGTAGGTGTAAAATCCCATGTTCTGTAGAATTTGGTGTCTAAAGTGGAAAGGGGAGAAAAAAAAGAACATTTTAGCACCTGCATTTTGCAGATTGGGAACTGAGGAATGGAGGAATTACATTTCCCAATTCTGAGACTGCAGAATTATTCTCTGGCAGATAATAATGAATAGCATCAAACAAAGCTGTGGTTTCTATCCAATGGCAAGACCAACAAGATAGCTAGCTCCAAAGGAGAATGGCAAACTATAGCTGAATATACTTTGAATATAGTTGAAAAGCAATAAAGGACAATTTTACTGTAACAAGAGCTCGGGAAGAACTACATACAAAATATTTTTGACAGTGGAATACAAGTTTACAATAGTGGGGTTTTGAGAAGAGGGAGAATTACAGAAATAAATAAATAAATAAACAACAACAACAAAAACCCCACCAGAAATAAAAATATACTTTTCTCACTGTATTCTCTTCTACCTAATCCTTCTGTCCCAGCTTTGCTGATTTTCCCTGTTTCTCCACTCAAACCCAAAGGAACTGTCAGCAGCCCTCTATGTAGCACTGGCAGCACCCAGCACTCTCCAGCCAGCAAACAAGTGGCTGTTTACTCAGACAAGGCGTCCCATCCGTGGGTCTCCTCACCGGTTCAGCTCCTCACCGCCGCCCTGCCGTGCCTTTCCTCACCCCTGCTGCAGAGGTGCTCCCCGGGGCCAGGCTGCCGGACCCTGCCCAAGCCGGTGCGAATCCCGACAGGTCTCTGGGAGGCTCACCGGGAGCAGGAGAGGGGATGGAGCCGAAAGGGGAACCCACAGAGAGGAGCTATGAGGAGGCTCGAGTCCCGGCGGGGCTGGGGTCCCCTCCCGCCCCCCGCACTTACCGAGGCCGAGGAGCGCGGCCATGGCCGGCCGGGCCGTGCAGCCCCGCAGGTCGCGCCGGCGGCAGGTGCGGGAGCGGCGCCGCCCCTTCAGCCCCGCGCCGGGCACAGCGCCCCGCCCGCCCCGCCCGCCCCGCCACAGCCGCGCCTCGCACTCCCCGCCCGCCGCAGGGCCGGGGGCGTCCCGCTCAGAGCGGGGGTTTTGGTATTTTCCACGGGATCTGGGACTCCGTCCGTGTTCAGTTCTCAGTTGATTTCGAGAGAAACTAACATAGCAAGTCTTTGACTGCTGCCTGTAAGCTCTTTAGAAAATACCTGTTGCTGTGTCCGATCATCTGCTCCAAGCACTTTTCAACACGTTTTAGAAGTGAATTTGTTTGTTTTCATCTCAGGTGTGGAATAGGACCTAAGGAGAAAGAAGACCTGTGGAACATGTTAAGACTCAGACCAGGGGAACAACTAACCAGCTGTTAGTCTAGATCCACACTGGATTGTGAGTCTGGATCTAGACTGGATTGTGAGTCTAACTTCAGGAGTTTCACTAAAATACATCAAGAACAGTTTGCCATACAAAAGTCGGTAGCTGACTTGGTACTTAATAAAAAATAAATCAACCATAATGCATGCAATCATACACCTGCTGGCTTCAGTGTGTGCTCTTTGCTTTTGCACTGAAAGGAGGGGGAAACAACAGATCTCTATTGATTTCTCCATGCTACTCATGAATCTTATTTTCACTACAATACACTTTTAACTGGATTTGGTCCTTGAATGCTTAAAACAAAAAGCCATAATGGAACTTTCAGGTTATCTGTCAAAGAGATGTAGTGGTTGAAATCCTGTGCCTATTGACAAACCTAAGTCCAGATTTTGTTTATTTTTCGTTTAGCTCAGGAAAATTCAATCTTGCATATAATCTTATTTCTAACACGATTTTTAGCTTACTTATTTTATTGCATTATTTATTTAAACTCCTAGTGACAAAATTGCTAAATATTTGTTTTTAAATCGTATTCAATAAATATTACTTCACCCAGTATATCCAACAGCCACAGAAAAACCTGTAGAAGTAGAAGGAACGGTCTGAGAGATGAATATAATTTTAGCTGCGGACAAATTTTCAATTTGAGAGCTACCTTGGTCTTGGCCTTCAACCATAATAACATGCAGCAGTATGTTACCATAAAGTGAGGGCTGAGTTAAGCTAATATTTAGTGTACTTTCCGTGCTATAAAGCCCTCACCAGGTTAATAACATGGATTTTTAATATCAACAATTTTGATAATATCAGGGAACAAGATGGTACCCTCTATGCAGTCTAGAAGAAAAGGGGAAAAAAAGCCTTTTTGGCGGTGGAGAGAAGGAGATATTACCTTGCACTCATTGTGACTGCAGGACACAAGCTTATCACTACAGTGACAACAAGAAAGGAGAAACAGGTCAAGATATCAGACCTCCAGGGCTGTGAAATATGTTGAGAGACAAAGTACCAAAATGACCATGGCACAATTTATATCTGCAGAAACAAATATGTCGTGATTTAAACTCCGTGTTCAGTGCTGCTGTGGCCAAGCAGAAACAATGGCATGAGAACTCCATTTCTATGCTTCTAACCTGCCAGTGGAAATATTAGAATATCAAAACAGCTAGAGGCAATAAAACCCAATTAAGGTTCAGCTTTCAGATAATTTTCAGTATTTGTACACTGGATAAGAAATGCTCATTCATCACCTTTTTTTTTCTGATGGATAAGAAGTCCAGAAGTTCCTTTAAGATGCTTTAATTTGTTTCACATGCAAAAGGCATTACATTCCATATTGCTCTTAAAATCTTACCCTCTCTTCTCACAGCCATTTCTATCTCCATTAATAACTACTGCTTACTATTTGGTTTATTTCTCCCAGTGATTATTTTAATAAAAAAAGAAATACATCTGATTAATATCTTGAATGTATCCAAATATTTAGATCTTTCTGGAGTAAAAGGCCCTAAAACTGGCAAAGAACCCCCTACCACTACTATACACAATAAGTCAACAGATTTTTAAATGGCTATGGAGTCTTTGCAATGAAATGGTACCTGAAAACATATCAGATCTAAAGAAGAAAAAGTCTAGGTAGTTCTCAAATTTTGTAAAAATAAAGAAATAAAAACATGAATATTTGCATCAAAAATATTTATTTCATAGAATCCAGAAATTTTTGAATGAAAAGCCTTTTCATTAAAATAACCAAATCTCTATCTTGATAACCATATTTAACCAATTTTTAGCTTGATAACCATGGAAGTTCCCAGTCCTTAGTTAACACTCTCTAGCTATCCTTACCATTTCAAATCTTAGATAAGCTCTGATTGTATCATTTGTATCTGAAAGATATGCTATTTACTCAACAAAAACTGTCCAGAGGAACACCCAGAATCATTTGTTAATGTCTCATTTTTTATTTATTTTCTCCACATAAAAAGTACTGTTAAGTTAAAATTATGGCTAAAAGAAATTCCTAAAAATGTTGGAATATTTTAATTTTGGAGATCTAAGTGAAAACAAGAAAAGAGAAAAAAAAGAACAAAAGAGACATTTTCTGTTACAAAAGAAAAAATAAGGCCAGAACCTTCATTTCTAAGATGGCACAGAAGACCTGCAAGAGCCCAAAACTGCCATTGACCTTTAATGATGTTCTTGCCTCAGAACCGACTTAACTAACACAATTTATCCCACTGGCATTAAGGTAGCAACAAAAAGAAGACAAGTTGTGTTGGCAGGTGGTGTTCACCCCCCTTTACAAAGATGCTAATTAGGACTTTTCCAAGAGTATCACTAACATTGTTGTTTTAGTTCCTTATGTCCTGGCCCAGGTGAGAAATACTGTACCCTTTCCCTCCCTGTTAATCTCACAGGGATCTGAGCAACACACCTGACAAGGCATAAGAATTTTGTTTGTCTTTTATGTGTGACCTGTGATCTTTTATGTTTGAAAAGTATACCTACTCCCCTTCTATGCTGTCCAAGTTTTCTTGGATAACCAGGTATTTTCTGCATTCTTTCTCTCCTCAAGGAAAAGCTAAAAATACATTTTCTGAAATTAAAGTGTAGCCTTCCAAAATTTGGGCTTAATTGACATTTTATGGCTCAAATAAATGATTGCTGATAATTATTTTGCATCGAGATTACTAGTTTTAATTTTTTTTTTTAATTTTTACTTGCTTATATGAAAACAGAAGAAAAACTTAAAGGACTTTTCAAATTCCATTTTCCTATTTCTGTAATGTTTTAATTCAGCAACTGTTTGTTCAATCATTTCAAATTATATAGAAAAAAGTATATCTTGTTTCCCATTTTAAGAATTCTATATTATCTGTGGTTGAAGAGCAAAAATAGCCTTCTAATGGTAAAGGAACTGCAATAGCTAAAAAACCAAATCCTGCTTTGCTTTCCACAATTATTTGGGTTTTCTTTTCTTAGAAGAGACAAAGTAAAATAATTTCTTGAAATAACATTGACATAATAGCTACACTCAAATATTAAGCTTATACAGAGAAATATAGAAATTCCTGTTATTTTATTTGATATTTAAACATTCTTTCCATTTAGATATTTCTCATTATTTTTTTTTTAATTGGAAAAGAGTATTCTCCTTTTTCTCTTTTAATAGGAAACTTTAATATATAAACAAATGCAATTTTTTTTTCTTTCAACACCAATGTAAACATGGAGCAATTGCAACAATGTCAAGTAAAACAGCTGTTGGGGGAGGCTAAAACATAAAGTGATTAAGCACTTCATAAAACTATAGCTGCCATGATAGATAGTACATTGCATGACATTAGCTCAAAGCAAAACCTAGAAAAAATATTTACATAAGTTATTCAAATAACATCTAGTCTGTGAATAATTGGCTTTGTAGAAACATTTGAATACGTAAGACTTTTTTCTATGTCAAATGGTTTTTAGGGAAAAGCAATTCCTCCCTCCCATCTTACCCTTTCTTTTGAAAAAACTGAACTGAAATGCAAGAGTAGTACCACAGGGTAATTCTGACAGATTAGCCTTTTTCTAACCCATAGACCACATTCATCTAGTAGACTAAGTCTCCAGTGATGCACCATCCTTTAAAAGAAAAATTGCAATACATAGTAGGAAGCCCCAGGCCAGGGAGATTATCCCATAATTGGAAAATGTATGAGTGAGCGCTTTATCTATCAGTCCAAAGAGATATCACCTCTATAATTTCCAGAGATAAATATTTTATTTCAATTGTTGAAAAAGTCAACATTTTCTTGGCATATAGATTTGTTAATTGATTGTATGTTTTTAATTTTAGTATCAAATGGCAGTTGAGAGAGAAATCAAGAAAACAAGAAAGATAACCAATGTTTTCTAAAGATCTTCAGAGATCTTCTGGAACAACACTTGCAGATATTATGGACTAAAATGAGCTACAAAATTTAAAATGTCCTGTCCTTCAGGGGTGCTGACCCTTCTTATTCCTATTGGCCTGAGCAGGAATTTTGAGCCTATAGCACCATTGAGCATCACATAAGTTTTATTTAGATAGTTACTTTTTAGGCACTCAAGTCTGAAGAAAAAAAGAAAGACTTTTAGTGTAAATTTATGAAAACATCTGTGACTTTCAGCACTTTGGGTTCACACTTCAGAAGCATGTCTGTGCTTGGAAAAGTAACGTGGACTCTTGCAAAATCAATCTGAAGTGAAAGTTCCATAATGAACATAGAATTTATAGAAATCATTTATAGAAAGAGGATATAAATAAATGATGTTTGAGACTTTTTTCAAATATTTAGATTTCTTTATATGATACATTTTAGAACGTTCCACAGCATCTAAAATATATAAAAATAAATATCTACAGTATTTACAAAGTATGATACAATACAATCTTTAAAAAGACTTGTAAAGACGTGTTCTTTAGCTCATACTGAGGTAAGTAGGTTTCTGTAAGACTGAGAAAAAATAGAATAGGCAGTTATTTTGAAGGAATCCCTTTGTCCAGTTATTGTAGTCTGTATCACACCTAAAAGCATGTGCCACTCTCTGTTGTTTGTAGTGTATTGAGCCAAAGTCATCCTTGCTGTAACTCCATCGAGGTAAGTTTCGTTATGCTAGGGATGAATTTATCCCACTCTACATTCTCTGTGTTGAGAGTGTCTTCTGCAGAAACTGTCATGGCTTCATCTATGTTTGAAGTCATGTTCATTCCTGGTATGTGGAGATGCAGTTCCATTGATTTTGATGGGTTGAGCACAGCTGGGATATCTGTAGAAAAAATAAAGATTCTAAGATCGTTTTACTGTTTGTATTAGGTAGCTGACTGACTCATCCTCTGATTGTCACACTCTAGACACAATGGAGGTGATGGTCTATTAACAAAATGGTCTTCCAGAAGTTGTTCAAAATTGCATTTGCAAATTTTAAGTGAAAGCTTCTTGACTGAAGACTAAGGGCATTTCTAATACATGAACCTTGATTTTTATTTTTTTTTTTACTTTTAAACATTTTAATGTTCTACTACTACTTATTTAATATGCACTGTTTGATAAATTGCCCTGTGGTTCCTTATCCAGCTGCCACTGTGACCAGCAGAGCACTACGGCTTCCTGTGTACAAGTCAGTCATGGAATCATTGATAGTTTGGGTTGGAAAAGACCTTTAAAGACCACCTAGTCTAACCCCCCTGCCATGAGCACAGGACAGGCAGTGAGAAGATAGTTATAATAAATAAGAGACAAAGGATAAAACATAATCTACAGGTACACTTTCATCTGGGTTTCCTGGTTGTAACTTTGCTTGTGCCATACATATAGGCAATGCTATTGAATTCAGGGAAAAAATAAACATTCCTTCTGTAGTAAGTGAAAAGTGGCTTCCCAGCTGTTCCCAAACACATGCAATAACCTACCCAACAGAAAAAAGAACATAAAATGTTGGAAAAGAAATTAATGTGAATTTCTTATTTGATCAGCCTAACTCACACCAGAATGCATGCTAAGCAGATAATTTGAAATAGTAAAGGACATGCAGGTATTTCAACCTGTACATACAATTTTGGTTAAAATCTTTGTCATGAAATATACCACAACTTCAGATAATTAGCTCAGAATAGAATATAGCTGTTTATAAACAAATTCCAATGACAGGGAAGATGATTTTCATACTTTCAGGTAATTGTTCTTTATTTAATTAGGAGTCTAAAGGAAGTAGGGATCCAAAGAAAATATTTATATAGTATATGATTACTTTATCCCCTCCTCAACTGGACCACAGCTTTTGAAATTAATGTGATGAAATTTTGTTTCATCAATATATAACCCAAGTTGTAGTATATTCTATAAAACATTTCTTATAATTTACTTTTCTTACAGTCAGTCCTTAATTGTAAACCCCTTTTTCTCTCTGTGTGCTCATATCCAAATATTGTTGTATGGACAATTAGATTTTACTTCCACAGGATCAAAAGACATAGGGACAAGTACAGTAAGAGCAGGTAATAGGTGCAATACCATTTGATGGGATTGTATTTATGTTGGTCAATACAACGTGTTCTGCAAGTTTTGAAACATTATCAAAATTGCTGATCTGGGTGGTCAAGGACTTCCGACTCTCTGTACTGGCATGACCTCTGGTGAACCGTTCGTCATGGTGGCTGCCAAAGATGCAACAGGAAAATGCTGCTTTAAATTCTTCTCTAAATTTCCCTGTCAATCATAAAAAGGACTCATGAAAAAAACTGTACTATAAACCACATTTCATCCAACTTCATAGATTAGAAAAAAAAAAGGAGCTATCTAAAGCAAAATCAGCGCAAATCACCCAGACCCTCTTCTCATGCAGAAGTAGGAGATCACAATTTCATCATCTTGAAGAAAGACAGAAGAAAAATAACCTTTCTAAGAAGATATGTGAGGTGTGGTGTGAAGACTGAATTATTCTTGGCTAGACAGAATGGACAAACTAGAATGATTAATGGAGTCATGACATAGGTAGTCTGTTGGTTAATTAAATATATAACAAAAAATTAATTGAGCAATCATAGGCTTAAATGATTGAATCATTACTTGACATGTGAAATGAGAGAGCATGGCTAATTTGTGTTTCACCATTAATATATTTGAAAAGAAGATTCAAAGTGTTCAACAGCCCATTAGTCTGCTTTTGGGGCTCAGAGGAAATTGTTCAGATCATCCTCTCACTACACACCACAAAAAAAACTACAGTGGGCAAATGTGTAGTGAAAATCAACATAGTTTTGCCTCCCTCTATTTAGCTGCAATACAGCTTTAGGTCCTTTGCAGCTTTAGCTGCAGTACAGTTTAGGCCCTGATTTTACTCTCCATAGCCAAATGATACAAATATGAACCAAGACAAAACTGTACTAGTAAGTAAACAGCATCCTGGCTGGTTCTTTGGCCTTGAACCTAGTTGGCACAGTCTGGTCATGCAAGTACTATTAAAGACTCACAGCCTCCAAACCCCAATACCTACATACAACATGCTGGCTGGGGACAGCCCCCGGGTTGTGCTACCTCCCAGACAGTATCCAGGGAGTGTTTAGCGGAACAGTAATTGTTTCAGATCAAAGTTATGCCAGGAACTTCTCTACCAAATTAATGTCGTGGACAGTCATATTCCAGCACTTGGACTCAGGCCCTGGCACTGTCCAGGTTAGTTATAGGTAGATAGCCTGAAGGTAATGGGATACTTCAGGCAACTTGTTCCAGGAAGAGAGTCTAGCTCCCACCGGAGGAGCTGAGCTGATGTTACACAATCATTAATCTTATTTGCTATGGCTCATTACATTCAAACTATACGTTAAACTTGAATTCTAGGTAACCGTAACTTACCACTGAGGAAGTTATAAATAATAGGATTGGCTGCACTGTTTGCATATACAAGCCAGTGTGAGAATGTGAACCACGCATACACAGTTTCTCTGTCGTCAGCATGATTAAACATCCCCAAAACCCTACAGAAAGAGAAAAGCAAACCTGAAAGATTACAAAACTAGAAATCATACAAAAATATTTTACAACTTCTAGCCTAATTTTGTCTCTGATGACCTATTCGTGGTATCACAGAAAAGCTGATTCAACAGTATTCTATTTCTTGAGAGAATAAAGTCCTCTCCCCAACCCTCAGCCTCCTGTCTTGGTGGTTTAGCACAGCAGAGACCATCAGGACTTTACTATGGTGCAGATACACAACTTTTCTGACAAGTAACCACAGTCACCTGGTGTCAGATAAGCCAAGAAAAGATGGGAAAAGTTGCTTTTGATCTAGTCATGTCACTGAAGTTCCTGGCTCTAGGCCTACTCTCCAATAAATAGGAACTGAAAAGGCATGTAACTGGCCCCAACCCTGAGGCTACAGTAGCAGCTTCTGTCTCCAGAGAAATCAGTATTTTCCAGATTCCTCACACCTCTCTTTTGCCATTTCAGTTAAAATCTAACTCTGGTCCTACTCTGCTGTTGTTTGTTGAGGCAGGCTGTGTAGTTCCTCTATTTCAGCTCGTAGGTTCCTGAACAGCGTTCTGGAAATACTTTTTTCTCTTCACATTTCCTACCAAGACTTGAGAGTGAAAAGTACTTAAATTAGGCCACAGGAAAAGGCCAGAACTGAGTGGGATGTATTTAAGCATTGAAACTATTCCTTAAATTCTAAAATGTTCCAATAATATTACAATAAAAAAAGCACAAATAACAGGCTGGTTATTTTTTAGGATATTCAAATCTTCTGCTATATGCAGTTATTTATTGGTATTCCAGAGGGCTCACAAGATGTAATTTTACCAAAGCCTGCCTATCAGGCACTGTACGAAAAACAAGAGTGTACACCATTATATACCAAATGAACATGAGAAAAAAGGATAAAAAAGGAAAATACAGCTTCATAAGGCTATATTGAATTAGAAATAATATAAAAAAATTTTACAACTTCTAACCTAATTTTATCTCTGGTGATCTATTTGCAGTATCACAGAAAAACAATTTCAGGCTAACTGAAAGGGCTGGCCTAAGGTCTAAAAATTGTGCATGAGGGCCTTACGTTTGAACCCAGAATTTCACAGTCCTTGGAGCCAAGCCACAACACTACACTCTGCTGCTAACCTTCAGCTGCTGCTTTAGGTAACTGCACTTCCATGGATGTATTTACAGCAACCAAGCTGTAATCCCATGTAAATAACAAGGTTTAATGAGGAGATAGGCTAGATCATTTTCATGAGGAAGAGCTTGCTAATAAGGGTTCCACAATCCAGCCTTTAGTTTAAGTACTATGGATAGGTTACATATATTTTCTTGCAATTGTGTACTTATTTTCCATTTCTTTATTGAGCAATAAGTAAGCTTATCCTTTAAAAGTATTTACCAGAATAAAAGGAATCTCATAATAGAGGATTGTTTTTAGATAGAAAGCTGCACCAAGTGTTTACATTTTGGGATAAACTTTACCTTTTCAAGACATTGAGGATGCTAATTGGTAGATAACAAAGCGCAAAAACCAGGAGGACAACCATTAGCATACGTGCTGTTTTCCTTCTTGCATGAATCTGTTTTATTTCAGCTGCCACAGCACTAATCTTTGACTTTGTTGATTGTCCCAGCCCTCGGGGCTGTGCTGAGGGCTGCAGAGGCTTCCATTTTTTCTGAACAACAGAAGAAGTTCCTGGGATCTAAGAAAGAAAAAAAAAAAAAAGGGACATTTTGAAATCATCTGTAAAACTGATATGTAGATATAACAAGAAAAATAGACATGTTCACATACACAAGGTAAGCTCACAGTGATAAATAGGAGTTTTTAATTAAATTAATTGATGTAGCTGCAAGAAACAAACTCAATTTCAGACACACTAGAACTGGATAAAAATTGTGATTTATACAAATATAAACTGATGTACTAAACTTTTCTTTCCTTCCCACATACCTTGCCTTGCTTGTGTCTTCAGACCATGACATTTACCAACCCCATTGCTGCAATTATGTTGCTGTAAAGTTCTACATTAAGTGTTTTGTTGCATAGCAGAATAGTTTATCCCATTAATATGCTGCTAGAATATACTGAACAGCTGTTCAGCATTGGAAAACAAGGATTTAAAGCCTGCACAGCTATAAGTGCCATAAAACTTCCACACATACAACCTGGATGACAAGTAGCTAAAGAAATCACAGCTGAAATGTGGATCTCCCTGCAAAGTTCTTCAAAACTGAATATACAGTATATATGCATATACAGTAATGAACAGAGGGAAATCATGGAAAAATGCCAAGACATAGGAAGAATTAAGTTAGTCAAAGCCATTTTGAAATGGGTAGATGTAGCACCATACTATTAAAAAAAAAAAATCTTGGTTTTTGTTTTCTGTACCCCCACATAAGACAAGTCAAATAAAACAATATTGCTTCAGTTCTTCAAAATTACTTTGTGCCTGCAGCCAACTGAAAAAGACTAGAGATAGCAAGGACTTTCTCAGAGAATTCTATTACCATTACATTTATAATGTGTTCAATGCTATACAGTGTGAAAATCTTTTGGCTAGAAATAATAATAATAGTTATATAATATATGTAATAATATAAGTAGATAATAGTTTTATTTATGCATAGTGCAATTTTGTGTGGGGTGACTAGTGGCATTACATGTTTAATAATGTTTCATGTTTAAAAGTATCTGCAAAATTCACACTGTAATATTTTTTAAAAAATGGGCTTATCCACACAAACTGACCAGAAAAGAATGAAATTTTTGATATTTATTTCAGGAAAAAAAGTAAACTAAAAAGTATGCACATTCGAAATTGTTGTAGAAAGCTATTATGTTGGGGTTTTGGTGGTTTTGGTTTGGGGGTATTTTTGGTTGGTTGTACGTTTTTTTGTTGATTTTTGGGGGTTTTTGTGTGTGAATATCTTCCTTGCACAGACAAGCCCTTAATTTAGCATTTATGCGCACCATCAAACCTGATTTACAGCTATTGGAACTTTTTGGTAAAATTAGCTTGTAATTAGCAAGAAATCAATGCAGCAGATTGGGAGATAGGTTATAATTTATTTTTTTTTTAACTCAGGTATCTATGGACTTAAAGACTCCAACAGAGCCCCTTGCACTTCTGCTGTGTGTTCCACTCATTCAGCTGAAATCAGCAGTTATCAGCTTCACAACTGCATGTCTGTCCTAATGCAAGGGATTTAACCTACTTAGCTGTGGGGTGTAGTACTGCAGTGTGTCTTTGCCATGCTCTGCTGAGATAAAACGCTGTCTGAGATTCTGATTCTGGCTTTTCAGGCATACTTTGATATCCTGTTCTTCTTACTTTGAATCAGAAGCTTTTTTTGTCCCTTTTCAATCATACTGAGTAACCATATTCTATCAAGAACTGGAGGTGAAAGCAAAGAAATGCAGCCAAATCTCTCCTTTCTGATTATGTCAAAGATTCACTTGAAGAAATCAGTGATCAGCTTTCATTGTAGATAGATACAATTTAGAAGAAGATAAACATTATCTTGGCTCCAAATTGTGTCTATTTCTACAGAAAAGTTAGACATGACCCTGTACTTGGTTTGTACCTGTAGGAGCAGGTAGAAGGGTCTTTTCTGTTATTTAAGCAGTCTTTATTAGCAAAAGGTGATCAAAGTTAAGACTGTATACAATGTGCAGTCTCCCTGTACTATATATTAAATTGCTAACTTTTCAGGAGTTTGTATTGAGAACCTTTCTGAAAGAGCCCATGCTTCCTCAGTCTTTACCTGGCATACACCTTGGCTTTGCTACTGTTGCACCAATAGACAATAATACAGCAAGAATATTATCAGGTTCAAAACCCCACCCCCAAAAAACTATATACCCACAGATGCATAGCAGTACCATTTAAGGAGCATTACACTTCAGAAGTGTGTGTGCATGTGTATGTGTGTATATGGAAAGATTTACAAATATGTATTTATGTAAACATAACATGCATGTATTACAAGATAGAATGAGAAGAAATTGACTTGTGTCAGGGGAGGCTTAGATTGGATATTATCCAATTTGTGAAAAATCTCTTCACGGAAAGGGTTGTCAAGCGTTGGAACAGGCTGCCCAGGGAAGGGGTGAAGTCACCATCTCTGGAGGTATTTAAAAGACATGTAGATGTGGCACTTAGGGATGTGGTTTAGTGATAGACTTGGCAGTGTTAGGTTTATGGTTGGACTCAATGATCTTGAGGGTATTTTCCAAAATAAATATTTCTATGATTAGGTATGTACAAGTATACACATGGGAGCATAATGTATATATTTCCTTTTTTTTGTAATGAATCAGCTATAGAGATAATTGTGGAGAATTTGTGTAATTTCAATGTTTTACTAAAAGCCTATTAGCTGTGTCCGAACAGGGACTAAATGACAGCTATTTTCTTGTGCACCTTTTCTCTATCCCCTCAAATAATTATCAAGGGGTTTATAATGAAAGGAAATCTCTCAAATATAATATCAACTTGCAAAGATTGGAAGGGTATATTTCAACTATGCAAATGAAAATGGGTAGAGTTCCTAGTCATTAATACAAGTAGGCTTTAGTGTCAATGCATTTGGACATCAGTAAATTGAAGCAGACTTGGAACTTAAAGCAAATTGTGTATCAACACTGTCATTGTAAGTCCATTCAGTTTTATTTATTTGTTCTGAAGTTACTTTTAACCTACAAGAGAGTATAGCCTTCTAAGTCACTACTTCCTTGATAACAATTAAAATAAATTAGTCAAAATCCCCAGTAGTTGTTGCATAATTGTTCTTGTCTTTGCAAAGGTGAATCATTAATTCAACGATTGTAAAGCTTATGTTCAAAGATCTGCTTGAAATACACAATCAGAAATTTTAAGAGCTATTACACAAAGTATTGGTAACAATAATTAGTAAATATCTTCTTTCATCTGAAAATTTTCACACGACACACTACATTTTAAAAAAGAATCTTCAGAAAAAGTTTAAGACATAGAAAACATCTACTGTTTGTTGTGGTTTTTCTATCACGTACATCTATAAGGCTTATAGTACCTTGCAATAGGATCATTACATTTAACTGAAGTTCTGGTAAACAGCATGATTTCTTAATTGAAATTATTATCAAAGAATACATTTAGAACACTACATTCATTTGTACTACATGACTGATTACAGCACACCTGCTGCACTTAGAAAAATGCCTGATGCCTGCAGCCAAGTCACAGTTAATAATAGATGTGCCGTGGCTTTAATTTCACTTCGTGCAGCCTCTTATACATAGTGCTATCATCTATGCCAGGCAAAGAGACATCTGTAATTTGGCACCATTGATAGCAATAAGTCTATAGTAGTATTTATCTTTTTGCCACTGAAAAATAAAGGATCATCCTAACCTTGACAGCATGCAAGATGCATAGGGAGAAGAAACATTGTGAAGAAGAAATAGACCAGCTAACACAACTGGGGGGCAATGGGGCAACCCAACAAAAGAGATTGGTTTTCAGTCATTCAACTTCTGCTCTGAATCTGAACCAGCATTTTCAAGCTACATGCAGGTTAAGAACAAGTGCTTTGCATTCATTTACTTAGTTAAAAGCTTGAGAGAGGAGGTAGATTGTAAAGAAAGTATAGAAGAGAAGGTTAAGAAGGAATACGGTGATAAAGTCATTGAGTGATACAGGACAGATTCAGCAAGGCAGAGCATATTAGAGCTATGTAAAACTGAACTTAATTACAAAACCACACAGGGAAATCCTTTGTTCTGGTGAAAGGTCCCCTCAAATTGTAAAGGTTAAATTTTACCTTCAAGCTATCGTTATTTAATCTCATTAATGTAAGAAATTAAAAACAAAAATAATAATTTAAAGAGCACAATAAACAGCAATTCTAGTTTAACCTAATCTGATTAGAAGTGAGAATAATTGCTCTTATGATGTATAGATGATAGCAAAATGCCTTGAAGTGGATTTGGTATTCCCTGTTCTTTATTTGCAAGACATATATTCTGTCAGTATAACATTTGATTTTTACTTTTATCATATGAATATTTAGAAGTCTAAAGTCTACTTGTGATTTCTCTGATGGATCAATTTCAACTGCATGAAAAATGCTACTTATGTGGTAGATATTATGGCCTGCCCAGGACAGCCTCAGATTTGGATGGTATCAGACATACTGGTGAGAGAGAAAAGATTCTCAAGCACAAGTCCTATGAAGAGAGGCTGAGGGAGCTGGGGTTGTTTAGCCTGGAGAAGAGGAGGCTCAGGGGAGACCTCATCACTCTCTACAACTCCCTGAAAGGAGGTTGTAGCCAGGTGGGGGTTGGTCTCTTCTCCCAGGCAACTATCAGTAGGACAAGAGGGCATGGTCTTAAGCTGTGCCAGGGGAGGTTTAGGTTGAATATTAGGAAAAAATTTTTTAGAGAGAGAGAGTAATCAGACATTGGAATGGGCTGCCCAAGGGGTGGTGGATTCACCATCCCTGGAGGTTTTTAAGCTGAGACTGGATGTGGCACTTAGTGCCATGGTCTAGTAACCACAGCGGTGTTGGATCAAGGGTTGGACTTGATGATCTCGGAGGTCTTTTCCAACCCGGTTGATTCTATGATTCTATGATTCCATGATTCTATGATTCATGCCCACATGTTGATGGAAATATTGTTAGAGCCATTTGAGAGGGAATATCTTGCATAGTGTCTCCACCAGGAGGAGATTACTGTCCTTTACAATGACAAATTATTGTCCTTCGCAGAATGATAGGGCAGCGGTGGCGGAGGACTATAGCTACAGATAAATCATGGACAAAGTAGAATACAGCAGAGAGCATCATAGACTGGTGTGTGACAGGTTACTGTTCATACCCACAAAATGCATTTCAGCATTCCTGAAAAAAATATTTTGCCACTTAAATTCAAATGTTCTTTGTGTGTTTGCCTGCTTGGTTTTTTTGTTGTTGGTGGTGCTGTTTTAGCTTTTTGATTAGTATTCCTGTTTTCTTTCCTGTATTTTTAATTTGAAATTTTAAAAAACCAGATCATAGAATCATAGAATCAGATGGGTTGGAAGGGACCTCCGAGAACATCAAGTCCAACCCTTGATCCACTACTGCCGTGGTTGCTAGACCATGGCACTAAGTCTTATCCAGTCTTACCTTAAAAACCTCCAGGAATGGAGAATCCACCACTTCCCTGGGCAGCCCAGTGCCTGATTACCCTTTCTGTAAAGAATTTCTTCCTAACATCTAACCTAAACCTCCCCTGGCACAGCTTAAGACCATTCCCTCTTGTCTTGCTGATAGTTGCCTGGGAGAAGAGACCAACCCCCACCTGGCCACAACCTCCTTTCAGGGAGTTGTAGAGAGTGATGAGGTCTCCCCTGAGCCTCCTCTTCTCCGGGCTGAACAACCCCAGCTCCCTCAGCCTCTCCTCATAGGACTTGTGCTCGAGTCCCTTCACCAGCCTTGTTGCTCTTCTCTGGACCTGCTCCAGCACCTCAATATCCTTCCTGAACTGAGGGACTGAGAACTGGACACAGTACTCCATGTGTGGCCTCACCAGCGCTGAGTACAGGGGAAGAATCACTTCCCTGGACCTGTTGGCCACACTGTTCCTGATCCAGGCCAGGATACCATTGGCCTTCTTGGCCACCTGGGCACACTGCTGGTTCATGTTCAGCTTCCTGTCAATCCAAACTCCCAGGTCCCTAATGTTTGCATTAGAAATCATGTCAATTATTTGTCAGCAATTCATATCAAATGTTACTGATAACAGCCAGCTTCACATCAGGCAATTCCAATCTCCCAGTTCAGATTGGCCCTGCTATCAAACTGATTAGGAAAAATAAAATAAAAATAACAAAATGAGAAAGTCAGTCTTAACTTTTGGCTGTTCCAGGAGATTTAAGCAGTATAAATAAGGTCACCTAAGGTATTTCGGTAAGCATTTCAGAGCTTTTTCTTCTGTCTGTAATCAATCTTTCTTTTGCCTTTTGCTGTCTCTCCTAAGCCCTTCACAGATATGAGTAAGAAGGCTTTACATTCAGCCTGACTGCCTTCCCTTTTCAGTGCCCCTCAATGCCTATCCAAGGTGGCTGTAAACCAGCCCTAAGTGAAAACACGGAGTTTATACAAAAAAAGGTTGTACACGGGAATCTGCACAGTTGCAACAGCAAGCAAACAGAGCCAGTGCTGAGTGACTTACCTGGCGACACCACAGCTTTCGAAATATCTGCAAATAGGCCAACACCATAAGACACAGTGGTGCCATGTATGTCACCAGAAAAAAGCACGTGTGATACATTTTGGGGTAAACCTCAGCTGGAAAGAGAATTCAAATAGGAAAGGTGCATTTAAATATACATACATTTCAAAATCCCCTTAAGACAAATTATTTATATAGATATGCATGTATTTTTCAACATAATAGGATGTAATGGAAGATGTATCCAATAATATTATGGTCAAGATCGCTTTTTTAATCACTTCTAGATACATTCTATTAGAAACATGCTTTTATCTCAAGGATCTCCTGTATCACATTATTGATTTCTTACCATGTTATTACTTTAGGTATGAAGTTTTCAAAAGTTTTGCTTTTTATTAAAACAGTGAAAGATAAAAAATTTGGTTATCTAAAAATAGCTAACTAAATATCCAACCTAATTCACCGTTGACATATTTAACAGGTTGTATAATTGTCTATAGTTTCAATTCTGCAAAGGCTACTATATATCCCTGAATAAACTGCAGTCTCTCACCTATAAAGACTGAATACAGACTACAGCACACACGGGAGTGATGAGAGAAGAGTTAAATCTCTTTTTGGTGGCAGAATGTATATGATTAAGACTCAGTGATTAATTATTATGATTACATTTAAAAAATAGAATTAATACATTCAAGTGCTTTAAACCTAGGAAATCTCCAGGGTTGTTTTTGACTCAGCTTTAACAATAATGAATTTGCTACCACTGTGTTTTAATTTCCAATGTATTTCTTTTAAAAAGACAACTTATGAATGTTATTTGCTTAGAGACAAATATCTTAAAACTGTTGTGAATATATTGAGTTTTTAGAATGTTGGCTCTTAAGCTTCATCATTAGCTTATAGCAGAATGTGCAGAATGTGAAAACTTGTTTTCTCTTTTGTAATGTCAAATGTCATTTGCTATTACCAAATGTTAATATTAATTACTATTACCAAATGTTAACATGAATTACAACTTAATATATATGGATGGCCTCAGAAAAGAAATGAACATTATGGAGAGTGACAATATATAAAGGAAGAGAAACTGTGCACCCCATGAGCAGTTAAATTGCATGGTAATCTTAAGCATTGCATCTTGACTAGAGTAAAGAAGGAACGTTTATGTTAATTTCCAGATTTTCTGCATGTTTCAGGGTGATAAGATCTACAATTAAAACTCCATATGAATTGCAGTTTTAATTTAAAAAAAAAAAGAAAAAAAAAAGAAAAAAAATAGTTGCTTGAGATCAAAACTTTGGTGAGCCAAACTTATTTTCTGCCCTTAAAGTGATTGAGACTGTGGACCCTATCAAAGAAGTGATGCCAGGAGAATCTCTGAGAGTTTGATCAGACAAGGATATACCAAGACTTGGTCCATAACTCTCACAGCGGGGAAGAGAACATCATCATGTTAACTCCAGGTTCACTCTCAAATGCAGACTCAAGTCATCTCACATTCATCATTGGACCTGAAAGTGCCAGCTGGTTCACCGGACAGAAAAACTTCAGTATCAGGGAGATGGAAATTTGCTATAGCAATATCAAGCCCATGTTCATTCCTAGCAAAGGTAATAGAGATGTTGCCACTGACATTTGATAGTTTTGACGGATCAGGGTTAAAAAAATTCAGATAATCAATATTTGACTCCTTACTTGCTCCAAGATCTTGTAGCAAACCAGCTTACCAACTCTTAACTAACAGTTGCAGCTAATAGCTCTTATCCATGTCCCTGGGGGAGCCAGACCATTTGGGACAGGTTTTTTATAATTGGTGATAACCTGAGATTATTTATTGATCAATGATCTCAAACTTGGTTTTGCATTCCAGAAAATGAAGCCTCACATCAGTCCTGGTAGACATGAAAATACTGACATGCACGCTACACAAGTGGAGAGAGCAAGGAGAAACTGGAGTAATGTGACTTACTGGGATCATGGGAGGTCAGAATTGGAAATACATTCTTTCTGCTCAGAAGGAGGTGCCACCTGCCTCATCAATGCTCTGCAGGCAGCCAGGCCCCTTAGGTAGAAGGATGGTACGTATTTAAAAGGCCATCTGGAGTTTACGACTTCTAATTTAGCAACCCAAGTAAAGTGAAACATTAAATGAGCCTAGCTATCTACAAAGAACTGAGGACCAGGTTGGAGGAAGATCCTAACACTTGCCTTTGAAGTTTAGCCACCTGGAAAGTGCCAGCTGCTAAACATCAAAGGAAACCTGTCCCTCCTCCATCCAGGGCAAAGCCCTTTACAGAACTTTTCCCTAAGAAGCATGACTCTGTTTAGCTTCTCAAGCCAAAGAAAAGCTTTAAAGCTGTTTGACAGTCACAGCAACAAGAAGGAGGAAGGGCTGGCTTTGGATACCATTCGTTTATCAAAGGCTCCTTGAATGAGAACATCAATCTCTGGATATCAGTCTATGGTCCTGGTGATATATCAGCTGCCTGACTGGGACTACTGAACCTCTTACTGCCAAACAGAAGAGGAGAAAAATGTCTTTGCCTTCCATGGTCACTTAATAGGTTTCAGGACGGGGGGAGATTGTTCGTAGCTGGAGTAACTATCTCTTTAAGAATAAAATAACAATTCTCATGTCTCTGGCTGTTATTTTACTGAAAAGAGAGAAGGGAGCATAAAGCAAACAGGTGGTCATGGGGGTTGGACAGGGTTGAGGTCAGCATTCCTAGTCAGCTTCATTCATACAGTATGATTACTCCACCTGATAAAGAATCAATATGTTAAAACAAGCTTTCTTCTGTCTGCCCCAGGGGTTATCAAACAAATTTTAAACTTTTCTAGAGCTTCCCTTTGGCACTGACTACCAGTCCCAAATTGTCATTCAATGAAGCAAGGAGGTAGACTAAAACTACAGTTTCTGGATTTTTTTCAGAATTTTACTGTACTTGTGTGTATATATATATATATATATACACATATATATATATGTATGTATGTATATATGAACAAACTGAGAAAAAAACAGACTCAAAAGGTTTTGCTTGTCTAGCAAATGAAATATGCCCTTAAGCCATAGGTGCATGATGAAATTGGTACCCTTGACAGCTTCTTTAGGAATTAGAAAAAACAAGACTATCAAGTTTGTTGAGCATCAGTACAGTTCCCAGGTTCCCTACTCTCAGGAAGATACCTATGAGGTTTTGGAGTTACCCATGGAGGAGCAATGCAGCTAAAAGAGTATACTTTTAGAATAAAGCTTAATAAATAGGGATGTTAGGTGCCCGTAGTAGAGAAAATTTGACCACACAATGCAGTCCTTTCCAAATTATGTTCCTATGTCAGAGTACTTATGGTTGGCTAATACTAAAATTACATTTTGAAATCTAATATATTTATGCTTGAGTTATCAATTCACAATAACATCAAGCATAATGTTAGTATTAGAAATAATCTGACTTCTGTCTGCATTAAAATATTCCACAAGTTTTTGATTAAATTCTGAACACTTCAACAAACAGGATGTATAAAGCTTCCTGTATTAATGCAATTTCAAGCTATTTGTCTTCCAGTATTAAGACAATGTGTTTTTTACTATTGTATGAGTAGTCTAAGAGGAAATGGAACACAAAGTCTTCCCTTTGTTTGCATTCAACTCAGTTTTGGGAAAGGATTATCTCCATATTCTTTTTATCATTTGCAAAGGGCTTGGCTAATGCACTTTGGCTAACAGTGTTTTCTTGAACAGCTCTTAAGAGAATGTATTTAGCTGACTTTAACACATGGTGAGCTCATTTTAATATACATTTCTTTTATTTTGGCACTTTATCATCAAATTCAGAACATAGCAAGTACAGACTATTATAGAAATGTGACCAACTCTGGCCTCTGGCTCCTTAAGTGCGCCTGCATAGGTCACATGTTGGATCCTTCTGCATTCCCAAATAAAATATTGTTATTAGACAGTACTCAAAATGAAAAACCCTCAGCCTAGAACTGGCAATGAATTTTACATTCAGGAATGCCAGAAGCAATTAAAAAGAAATTGAGCCCTGTTTTAGACTGAACTATTGCACCGTTTGCAGTCACTGGCAGCTCTCCAACAGCATGCTTGAAATCTTATTAGTTAGGGAGGCGACTATTTCTCCACCGTTAAGGAGCCCAAGTGTCACAGTGCTGATCAGACCTTCCTTCCAGACACTCATCAGACTTTTGTGGTCTTCAGCAGCTGATCCTAAGTCTGGGTAGGGTACAGTGCTGTATCCTGATTTAGCATCTCTGACATTTTCCTGGACATGGCTTCCCTTTAGTTCTCCATAGCACCTCATGTTTCAGTGGCCTTGAGTTCCCAGAATTACAATATACTTCCAAAACACTTTGGAAAGTGTCATTAGGCACCCCCTTTTTGTTGTCCCAAATTTGAAAAAACACAGTTTAACATCCTTGGGACATACAGTATACATGATGCTATGCAAATATTTTATCAGATGTAGCCTAATTTTAAACAGCATAAATTATATGCAATTCTAAACAAAGCAGTAAACACACAAATACAATCCCTTTCTTCTAAATTGACTCTTCTATAGGATTTTCTCAGGGTCTCTTGGTTAGTTGAGGTATCTGTAAGTCCACTTTCTCTTTACAAATATAGGTTATTTGTAGCAACATGAATTTCTTTCTCCTTCAACCTCCTCCTTCTTAGCTTTCTTTGACCCTCAATATTCCCACAGTCAAAAAAAAAGGCAAATCAAATTCCAACAAAAACACAACTATTTTCTTTGAAAACATTAGCTCTTTATTTTTTCTTCTGGCTTTAAGGAAGTTTTTCAGTCTTTTCAAACTGCTGCTCTATTACCATATTCTTTTATTATTCCGTTTGGGGGCCTTTGTGATTTCAAACCTTGTTTTTCAGTAGAAAATCTGCATATTCTATGCTTTGGCTGAACTCAGAGTCCTTAGACATTTTCAGTAGAATGGAAAGCATCTTTATAATTACACTCTATTCTCTATAGCCTGAAAGGAATGTGTATATATATGTTATATTTTATTCTCATTGATAAAATATGGTTAACACTGTATTTGCTAAGTAACTCCATGATTTGAGCAATCTACTTGTAACTTAATGCATATAAAGATTCTTTTTTCAAGTTACTGTGAAAAGCTATTTTTAGAATGTGGAGAGGATTATTTTTAATGGATATCTGAAATACGGCAGCAGAATAACTAGCAATGATGGTGCATTGCCATTAGAAGAATAATTCATTAAAAAGACAGTAGAATAAAAATAGGATTTTTATCTTTTAGTGGGGCGAAAAAGCTTCCCATTTCAGAAAACTTCAATGCATTTTTAATGTAAGATTTTTTTTTTTATGCTCAATAGAAATAAAAATAAAAAAAAATAATGGAGTGTTTGCACTTCATTTCTGAAGCTGCGCACAAAAGTATTTGCCTTTGTCATACCCCTTTCTGTCTCTTCAAATATCCAAGTGAAGGAATAACCTGCTTTGGACAAATACACTCCATAGAAGCAGAGTCTTGCAAACACATGACATATTATTTTTGTTTTCAGGATTTTGGTTTGGTTTGGTTGTTGTTGTTTATTTTGTTGGGTTTGGTGGTGGTTGTTTTTATAATTGCTGCTTTAGCTCAGGCATATCTGTGGGCTGCAACTACTTCATCACAGCACTAAACTAGAGGCACTCTTTGAAACAGTTCTAAGGCTACTACAGACTGTAGTTCAAAAGCAACACTTTCCCGTCGGGAATCAAAAAGTGGCCAATACAGATCTGGAAATTTTGAGATCACATTCCCTGATGAAATGCTCTCCTGACTTCCTAATTAGTGGACCACATAATTTCCTGGGTTGATTAAAAGAATATTTGCTGCAGAACTAACCTTGAAGTGATGAAGGCATGGATAATTAGTTCTGCAGCCAAAACAAGTGGACAGAAATTGTACTTGGAGTGAAAGTTGTGAAAGAAAATAGTCAAATAGTCACACAAATACTGTGGCATCCAGCAGCAGACAGGAATACAAAATTGTTCGCAGATGAAAAAAAAAGAACACCGGAAGTAAAGAGCAGATTTGTCCTCCCTAATCAAACACCAATTACAATACTCACAGCTTAACGGAGGCTTCCTCTAGCCTACAAACTTCCAGCACATCTTTGTCAGCAAAGACTGCCAGTGAGCTAATGGCCATCTCTGCCCCCTTGCCTGCTCCCAGAGGACCAACTGGGATAGAGATGAAGAACAGGGAATGTGATAGCCAGTGTCTTCTCATTAATCCTCTGGTGGCCCTGTGAAAGCCGTTAGCAGGGGAGGAACTTCCAAAAAAGCACATGGAAGAGCCCTCAGCAGTTCAAGCTGCTTAAGCTAATTAATCATTTAGCTGCTTAAGCTAATTAATTAATCATGATAATTAAGTACAGGTGATCTACTTGTATTTTATTGTGATTGTTCACAGGACTGGAATCTTCTACAGGGACAGCTCTGGGAGAGAATCTGATTGTGTTTTAGTCTGACTCAAGGCTATTAAGCAGGCACCTTTTAGTTATATGTTTTGGCAAACTTGGCTTTATTTTCCCGCGTGTGAATAATGGTATTACTGATGGTCATTATATCCAGTGTCAGAGTCACAGCATGTAACTCATACACTCTTGTTAGCATTGGAGGTGTGCCAAGGCCCACCAGAGTTGAGCCTTAACCCTTTGGGTGGGTGGCTCACACCACTTGCTGCGAACGGAAACAAAGTAGAAGCAGTTACTCCCTGACGACACTTACAGCCTTTTACAGCTGCATTCAGATATAGAACATGGTAGATTCAAAGTTAATCTGGAAGGGCAGAATTACAAATCAGGGCAAGTGAGTCTTGGATAGACTCATTTGTAACTGATTACATTCACCAAGTTATTTAAGTGATCTTGTCCATAAAAAATTTCAAATTGTAAGTTAACTCAGTACCCCCATACCGATGACATTTCTTAATTCTGAAATGACATCCAATTTGCATTGAACTCCTAGGAGATATCCATAAAGACTAGTTAATACCACCAATTAGCAAAAGCAATATATCAGGTAAACAGAAATTCTGTTCTTACATAGTTATTTCTTAAGGCTAAACACTGAAGTCTTTGTGAACCTGGGATGTCCATCGGTCACAGAATTATATAAGCATAAACATTTAAGGGTGGGAACATTTCTATCCTCTGGGAAGCATTAACGTGGTCAAGACATAAGTCAGCCTCATTCATTTAAACTTGATTTCAAATGCACTTTAAGTCTCAGCAATACAAAAGAAATTCACAAAAATTTCACGGTATTTTAAAAATGCTAGTTCTAGGAAAGCTTATATAATTAAGAACGTTTCGTGATATGTTTATATGATTTGACTGCATATCAACCTGTCCTGACATTTTTATTACCTAATAGCGGTACAAATTCAGTTTGTATAGTCAATGACACACTCACCTCCCCAGTGCTCATCACACACTGTGAACAAGGTGGTTTTATTGGCTAATCCTGGGAACACACTGCTGCACTCCATAACAATAGCCTGAGGAATCATTATGATGCAGGACACAATCCAGATAATTATAATGCTGTTCCTTGCTCGCTTGGCTGTGCTTTTAAACATCAAAGGGTGACAAATTGCATACCATCGATCCAAAGCAATGCAGCTGAGTGTTAGTACAGACACAGAGACTGAAACTGTCTAAAGAAAAGAAATATTATGTAAATGTAAATGTAGGATTTTTTCAGAGCTTTAAAAACTATTTATTGTATTTTTCCCCAGAGTTTTAAAAATTATTTCTATTTTCAACATAGTTCTTTATCTGCAACCATTAAATAGAAATTATTCCCAGAAAAAGACTCCTTTTGAAATCACTACTAACAGAATTACATCAGATATCCTCCTCTGCTATAGTTCTACTAGAATCAACAAGACAATTCAAACATTAGAGCGCTACCTAAACTGAGTAGGTGTAGCAAAGTCAAATTTTGAAATAGCAAACCTAATCAACTGGGAATTTACAAAACTTTATCTGAAAAACCACTTTTAAAACATTAGACAATGAGTTAGTTCATCATATATATTCCATCATTTTACCTTTTATTTTTCACAGGGACAATGGAAATTTAGGGTCTCATAAAAAAAAAACAACAACAATCAGCTTAAGGCAGTCTAAGACATTTTACTTCCTGTTCCGTATAGGAAACAACCTATCACTTCAGTTTTATTCTTTCATTCGATGTGCTTGGTGATCATGTCACTCAATCTTCAGATTTTCTTTTACTAGAATGGAGGCTTTGAAAAAAAAATTTGCGATTTTGGTTGTATCGAGTAGAGGACGTAGCTGCTGGAGAACTGTTGCCCTTGACAATGTGGCTCTTCAGCCATAGAGGTATCTGCTGAAAATGTGGATGGTGCTGGAGGCGTAGGATGATCACGTGCATACATTCCAAGTTCTGCTTAATTTTTTTTAATTATAATGACTACAAGGCCAAGCACTTGTCATTCTAGTTTGCCCAGTCCGTTCATCCAACCACCTATTCTTAGAAAAGGTATTTGTCAATCATCTTGATGCAAATAAACTCAAAACTAATTAAGTCCACTGGTAAATGACTGGTGGCATTCATTGCTGAAGGCAGACAATCTGACCAGCTCCCAGTGAACCTGGATACTCTGACTTTTTCTAAGAATACAGAATCATTAAACACATGAAAAAAAGCTCAGACTGCCTTCAGAAGTTGGATTGTCTGTTCTGGACACTTGTGTAGCTGTTTAGATCTGCACACAGAGAATATTAATGACTTTATTGCCTAATATGCCTTCTGAATCATTAAAAAAGATTACAAAAAGAGCATCAGACAAATGTTCCAGGAAGTGTATCACCCAAGTCTAACAATCAGATAGTCCAAACGTGGTATTTGTTAAGCACAAACATATTCAGAAGTGGGACAGTCTTTTAGACCTCAGCATGTATTCTGAGATATCTACTTCAATGTCAGAGGTAGACTTTCATTGGATTATCACTATTAGGAAGACACGATCGTTCTTTCTTATTTTCATAACATGGGTAATGTGCACACAAACATAGAAGAATAATACCTGTAAGTAGGGAATCACTTTGCAGAGGGTCTGCCCAAAGAACCACGTTTCTGTGATGTCCACAACTAAAGTTGCTGGAAGACAAGTAATTGTGACCAGAATGTCAGCCAGAGAAAGATTCACTATGAAATAGTTGGTAACTGTCCGCATGTGATGGTTCTTCCACACTGCAATGCAAACTGAATTTGGAAAGACAAGTTAGGGAGTATTTTAAGAGGAAAACTTTTGGTTTTGTAGAATTAAGGAAATGTTTGTGTGTTTTGTTTAACACAGAGTATTTGAATATGTAGTTCAGTGCAAGAACCACGTGTTTTCTTTTAGAGTGTAAATAAGAAGGTAAATGTAGAGAGATTCTTGGTACCCAAAGATTAGCTTTCCACAGACAACAGCATGGGAAATAATCCAATACAAAAAGCAATTTATTTTTCTTTTGGTTTATCTTTACTAACTATTCATACAACTTTCTTCATGTCTTTTTTAATCTGTTGGCTCTAGTCTATGGCAATACAAATCTAGATTTGTAAAAGTTTGTCTGTATTCTTAGGATAGCTTAATTCAGATTGCTAGAACACATAATCTTGTAAACTGTACCAAAACAAAAATAGTTTTATAAAATATTTTTCTGGCTTTAATATATCTATTGCATCTACAGAGAATCTGTAACAATTGTCTGTAATCTGGAGTAAGTAAATAAAAGTAATTTTTGCAGTATTAAATATGGTACATTTTTGATGATGATCAAAAGCAGTATATAGCAGACACTTTATAAGATGTGCCTTTAAAGCTTGTTTAGTATGTTTTATGCCTCTCTTTTTCAAATTGAAAGGCTTTTAGAAGTGAGGCATATCAGTCCTTTAACAACATTACACTGAATTCATAAGCTACTAAATTAAAAATGCCAAAATTCAGTCTGAGAAAGTAGCCTAAAAGTAAGTTTTTTTAATAATTTTGGAAGACAAACCCTGAGAGACTCAAAGCCTTTGAATGTTTTAGATTCAGTCACCAAAAGCTCTTTAAAAACTAATGCACAAAATTTTCCAGAAACACCACAATACTTCTTGTAAGAAAACAGTACAACTCACTGTACATCAAAGGGTCTTCCCTGCAAACAATAATTCATCCATCATGCAAATCCAGAAGAAGATTCAAAGTCTCCTTAATCTGTTAGGATATAGCACTATACTTAATTTAGATATATGAAACAGATCACAGAATGTTTAAAAGTTGAGTTAAAAATGTCCTCAAGAGATTGCCCAAATCTAAAATGGAATCAGCTAGAGTTAAGCCATTGTCTTATTAAACTAGCTAAAACAGCTGGAAAAAAATGCACAGACTTCAAGGCACATAAGCTCTTGAGATCAGATGTTTCTTTAGATCCTAAGAAGGATGACAGGCCTGAAAGCTTCTGTCTATCTTCCAGCTGTATCAGTTAATCTAATAAAATATATTAGTTCATTCCACAAATTTTGTCTTGTTTGAATCTTCAGAGCAACAGAACTACAGCAAGACTACAACTGAGCCATTGCTGGCAAGTTTACATTTTACATCTATTATATTTGAAGATATCACACATCTCTTAAATGTGTTGCACTGTTTAATTATCTTCCTTATTAAGAAAAAAACCTCATGTTTAATCTCCTTTTATTTTGCTGCTATTTATATTGCTTTTTTTTCTGCACACAAGTAGAAAGAAGAGTTTTTCCCAGCAGCAATGTTTCATGTATGTAAAGATTTTTGTTACACCTTCAGAGCTCTTTAGCTTTTACTCCCAGTCATTTCTTGAACATCTGCAACCATCCTTGTTGCTGCTCTCTGGACACTCTTCTGACTGAATCTCCTCTTTCTGGTGAGAGTACAGTGACCAAAATTGGTAGAATACTCATTCAGGATCTTACTAGAGCTTTACCAGGAGCTGAGACTACACTACTTCTTCATGAGGGCTGTGTTTAGACATTTAAAGGTAATTTAGGACAAAAAGAAAGGGAGAGATTAGATGGCCTTCAATTTCTCCAAAACAAGGTGATTTTATCATATACCTTTTTAGGATATAGGTTTCCAAGATTCATCTAAAATCTCTTTCGTGACTCAACATATATTCTTCATATCTTGTAGTGTGTTGCAGAGATAGTTCCAGATTCTATAGCTCGTATAATTTAATTTTTGCTATATATGTATCACGCTCTCAAAAATGCAAATTAAAAGCCCTCTACAAAGCTCTTCACTGTTCTGGTACTGGTTTTGGAGGAAATCTCCCACAGTATACATTTCTTCTATTTTTTTCTTCTTGAATACAGAATTTCAGGTTCTCTTATCTGTGGCCTCAGACATCTGAAAGGCAAGGCTTATAAATCAGAAATTTAAAGGAAACATCATTTTATTTGTATTTTCTTCCCACTTGCATGATTTAGGTTACCCAGCAAAGTAATTATTTCTATAGCATTGTATGATAATCACAACATAACTATTCAGAGCTTTACCATTGTTTGTCACCCAGTTACTACAGCTATAACCTGCAGTCTGACAGTGCAGAGGCAGCATCTAACAGGGAAGTAATACATTGCTGCCCCTCTGGAATGTTGTTTGCAGTAGAAAATACAATGCTGGGGAAAAAATTAGAAACACTATTTCACTTTCAATAATTTTAATACTTAACTCTAAAAATTTGAAGATTTAGACTTTTACTTATGGCTGGTTCTTTGTCTTGAGTGCAATTCATATTGAAAGCATGGTCCTGTCTTGTACTTAGGCAAAAGCTGATATTAAATGGCAATGTTTTGCTGTACTTATTATTTCTTTTATCAGTAGGCAAAATTTAAATAAAATATTGTTTAAAAGTCAGAGTTTGGCTACTTTTTTCTCATGCTATGGTTTCAACAGTCCTACATTCTACCTAATTCAGCCATGGATGTCAGTCCTTAAAGGCTTAAGCAGATATGTATGCTCTCTGACCAGGCCTATTCTCACTCCTGTGCTGGCCCATCTGGGGAAAGCACCTGAACATAAACATTATTTCTGGTGAAACAAATCCATTAAGTTGACAAATGTGAAGTCAATCTCACTGGCAGCCAATGGTATCAGAAATCAATTCATAGCATTTTGTGTGTTGGGTTCAAAGCTTTCTATTAGTATGAGCAACTGAAACCCTGTGATACCCCAGAGAGCTAAGAAATATTATTATTTTCATCTTTAGCACAAAGAAAGTAAAATGCAGAACAGAATTTGTTAAAGGTCATACAGTAAATCAGACACTGATGAGAATAAGAAACTTGGACTCCTAATTCCCAGCTCTTTACTAAACCTTCCAGATCACACTGGCTTAATATGGATGGAATTTAGATGAACTTCAGTAATTACTATTCCTCAGGGCAATATAAAAGCCTATGCCCCTTTCTACTCGAGGTCCAGCAGTATGCAGGAAAGCCAATTTACAAAAAGTAGCCTTGAATTCCTTTGAATTCTAATCCACAGGGGCAAAAGACCCGAAAGGTGGAAAAACTCAATAGTTTACAAGCACAGAAATGCAAGATAATTTGTTACTTTATATTTCTTTGTTTATACTTGTGTGTTTCCCCTTTGTAGCACAAAACAATTTTCCATTTTATGGCACATAGCACAAGAGCATCTTAATTAGCATGTTTACATACTACCATATTAATTAAATATCCCAGAAACTCATTCCATGAATGTATTTAAAAAATTGTGAAAAAAAGTCCCTGAAGAGGAAGTATTTTCAAACCAAGTCAGCTTTCTGCCCCCCTCGTTGCCCTCTGCTGGTTGCAGTATTTTTTTCAACTGCAAGCATGGGTGATATTTTATTTCAGTGCAAGGCTAAACAGCTACAAGGATTTGCTATGATTCATTTGAATAGGAAAGAATGATATAAAGATATAAACAGGTCCTAAATGACATAAAGTTGCTTCAATATATTCCCTCCAGATCCCATGTCTTTCTGACTTTATTACAGTACAAGGTTATTCAGTAGTCTTGGACAATAGCTTTATTGATATACCAGTGCTCTAGTAGCTCATCAAGAAAGATTCTCTAGCCTATGTTCAAAAACTGTTATTTTATAGGCATACAAAATACTTTGACTATGCCACTGAGTACAGGATAGCTTGTTAAGTATCAGAACAAAAAAATTTTATGTACTCTCTTCTCGCACTCCTTTAATTATGCATTGTCATCTCAGGCAGTTCTGTAGAGAAGTGGAGGCACTCAGCTCACATATAAACCCTCAAGAAACCTGCTAGAGAAAGGAAGCTCTGTGGAGTAGAAATGCCATCTGCCTACCCAGAAGAAAATAGTGAAGAGCTGCAGCTTTTCAATCAGCCTGGAGAAGAGGAGCAAGGATGAGAAAGGTAGCAAAAATTATCAATTAGGAGTATATTTTACCAAAAAGTACTTCAAAATCATAAAATAGGAGATGAGGCCAGCAACAGCCTTCCTAAAAAAACCGGGAGACACCACAGCATTAACAGGATGCCTGTATAGCTGAGGCACAGTGTAGTGGCCCAAATTGAGCTCTTCAGACCTCTGTTAAAAAAATCTATGAAATAGTAAAAATAATTGAATAAAACCTCAAATTAACATTATATGTAAAGCTTTTATGCAGCCTTTGATGTTCCTGGCTATAAATGGGACTGAGAAAGAAAATAGGGAAAGTGGTGTTAACACAGGCACTGGAGAAAAGAGGATTAGAATTTAAAAAAAAAAAAAAAAGGCAGGAGAGAAATTTTAGAAGTAATTCAGAAACAGACTCCTGGTGTGCATGCTTTTCCTGACTGCCAGTGCTCTAATGGAACCTAATTACCTGCCTACCGTACTTTGTTATTTTCTGCATTTTTGGTTTTATTTTACAAAACCACTCAGAGTTATTCCTGCACGTGCAAACATGCAGGCCAGCTTTCACAAGGAGCAGCTGTTTTTCTAGCGGCTGTTTGACTCTCCCTTTGTCATCTCACCTCTGGCGCTTTACTTTCGCTAGACTCCAGCAGCTTTAAGCAGGAACAGCCCTTGCTGTTCCTTCCTCTGCCACACAGTGTCGGTGAAGGCTCGAAAACCAGACGGAGTCGCCAGGCTGACAGTGTTTGGAAAAACTTGTGGAGGCATTCCCCGAGCGAGGACAGTTCTGCCAAAACGAAGCTTGTTTCGGGACTAATCCCGCTCCCCCAAAAGCCTC